GGTACAAGGTCCAGTTGGAAGGCAGTCACTAGTGGCATACCCCAGGGGTCAATACTGGGGCCAGTACTGTGCAACAGCTTCATTAACAAGCTGGATGATGGGTCAGAGCGCACCCTTGGCAAGTTTGTAGATCTTAAAAAAACTGGGAGGAGTGGCCGATGAGCCAAAAGGTGCTGCCATTGAGAAGGACCTTGGCAGGCTGGACAGGGAGGAATCTCATCAAGTTCAACAAAGGGAAATGCAAAGTCCTGCATCTGGGGATATCTGAGGGTAAGCCCCTGCACCAGTACAGGCTGGGGGCCAACTAGCTGGAAAGCAGTTCTGCAGAGAAGACCTTGGGGTCTTGCTGGACAGCAAGCTGACAGTGAGCCAGCCATGCAGTCTTGTGGCAAAGGTGGCCAACAACATCCTGGGCTGCATTAGGAAGAGTGTTCTCAGCAGGTGGAGGGAGGTCATCCTTCCCCTCTACTTGGCAGAGGTGAGGTCACATCTGCTGTGTTGTGTGCAGTTCTGGACTCCCCAGTGCAAGAGAGACATGGACTTACTGGGGTGGGTCCAGCACGGATCCACAAAGACGATGAAGGTTCTGGAGCATCATTCAAATGAGGAGAAGCTGAGAGAGCTGGGACTGTTCAGCCTGGAGAAGAGACGACTTTGGGGGGGATCTTATCTATGTAGATAAATACCTGATGGGAGGAAGTGAAGAACAGGGAGCTGGAGTCTTCTCAGTAGTGCCCAGTGACAGGACAAGAGGCAATAGGTACATGAAAGTAAATCTGAACATCAGAAAGGACTATTTTGCTGTGTAGATAGTCAAACACTGGCACAGGTTGCTGAAAGAGGTTGTGGAGTCTGTCCTTGGAGATACTGAAAACCTAGCTGGACTCGGTCCTTGGCAACTGGTTTTAGGTGTCCCTGCTTAAGCAGAGTGCAGGACAAGAGGTCCATTCCAACCTAAATGATACTGTGATTCTGTATATTGCTTTGTCTCTGCCACGACAAATAAACAAGATGAGGTCTATGTCATGCTTGACAGTACTGTTGCACGATATGGTTTGTCAAGTATATTGTAAAACTGAGCTCTGAGCCTTACAAATAAACTTATTATCTAAAAATTAATTTGCAGCACAGCAGTTAATTTGAAAAATTAACTTGTGGAAGAGGCTTTGGAAGAACGGAGGCAGGTTTGCCCTTTGACAGAAACATAGCTTTTTACTCTGTGATTCTGTCCCAGGCTTGTAGAAGCATCTTCTTCCTGAAGACTTTTTTTTAAAATGCAGAGTGTTTCCTTGAGAAACAATTTCTTTCCCTTATAGGTTTCATCTGTTAAAAAAGAATCACCATGTTTTTTGATGAAGACTGCTGACTAGAACATCCGTTTTGTATCCCAGCAGATAACCTCTCTAAATTAATTGATACCAGTTCTAATGAAGTGACCTGTTTAAAAAGATCTCTGCCAGCGTGTGTTTTCATATCTTCAGTCTTTAAACTTTGAAGTGAATCCCTTTGAGGGATTCCTAGAAATGATCTGTTGTTTTCCATTCAGATTTTTCTGAAAAACCCTGGTGCTTCAGCCCAATGTCAGAAACTCATTTTGATTAAAATTATTTTAAATATAAGCCCCTTTTTGGTGCTTGTTTGTAGCTGGTTCAGTATTTGATTCTCAGGGGTAGCACCCAAGCCTAGCTGTGCTGTTCATTCCCAGGCTGAGCTGCACACAACTCAATAGATTTTACATCATGCTTTGACCACACAGGAATGGAGCAAATCACTGCTTTCCTAGTTCAGCCTTGCAATTATTTGGGGCGGGGGGGGGGAATGCGGAGGCATGTAATAATGTATGTCTGTATCTGATAATTCAGAAAAGCTGCCATTAAAGGATAATCACTCAACATAATCTTTTGCATGTTACTGTATGCTTACATATCAGTTACTACTAAACTGTATACTATTTCTGTGGAAAGAAAAAGAATTAAAAACCTGATTGGACTTTTATGATGCTTTAAAGATAAGAGTAGCTTTGTATTTTGTGGCTGTATGTCCACACACCTTGTGCTGTGCTTACGTGGTTGTGTTTTTTTGTTGTTGGGGTTTGGTTTTGTTTTGTTTTGTGTTTGGTTTTGTTTTTTAAAGAAAATATGCATTACTTGGAAAAGAAATGTCTGTTGTCTGTGCTCTTAAAAAGTAATTCAGTGATTAACTAGAACTAGATTAACTAATGAGAAGAGAGGAAAATACAGAAAGGATATTGCTTACTGAAGATGGCTGCTGTCCAGTTCTGTGACATAAATTGTACACTGCTACTTAAGTTCTTATTTTCTTGGAAAGTGAGAAAAGATGCAGACAACTCATGTCATTCTACATGCACTGAAGGTCATTAGTATGTTGATAACTCTACTACCAGAGTTGTGGGATTTCTTTTTACATTTTTGGTGCCCATGCACATGTTCTTAAAATAAGACATAGTTGAGATAATTAAAATTATGGTCCTTACTGCAGAATGGTCATTCAACACGCTTGATCCTAGTGTTACACTGTAGTTATCCTCCCTGATGAGCATAAAGTCTTTGGTTTAAAGCAATGCAAACACTGCTTTCCTGAGCACTTAAACTGTTCATGGGGTTGCTTGCCCTCACTGTGCACATTTTGTAAAGGAGCAATGAGAGGCAGTTGCTATTTTGTTAGTACCACTTTGGGAGGCATGGAAAACCTAATACCTATTTTAGCAGGAAAGAAGGAAGGATTTCTGTCTCTGGCTGAATGTGCAATCTTCAGGCAAAGAAGAAAATTCTTAGTATCTGATACAGTCTGTGAACTTGTCGATGTGCAACTGGTTTATTTTCTGATGCTGTTAACAGCTAAAGTTTACACAGCTGTTAAGTGTTCACTTGAAAGCTTATTCCTGCTAGCATGTTGTCTCTCTGTCACGCTCCTGCACGCTCAGGCACACGCGTGCTCCCTCCCTGCTGCACCTGGAGAACAGCCCACCAGGATATCCTTTGGGAAACAGCAGCACCATTTCCCAGTTGGAGCTGTGTGCAGTTAAGCTCACTGATCTCGATGCCATGTGACTAGAGACGCAAGGAGCAGATTGACATCCGGCGCGCACTCTCCAACTTGTCAGATAGCCAAAAGCAAAAAAAGAAAAAAAGAGGGGGTGGGAGTGAGGAGGGGAGGTTCCCTTGCTTTTTTTTTCCTAGCACTATTAATTCCTGCTGGAGCTTGTTTGCCGCGAGCTCGGTTCATGGCAGTAACAGAAGCAGCAGTGCTTATTTGGTAGCTCAGTGCTCTCAATGAGGTCAAGCTGGATCAAAGAGAAACCTCCTGTGGAAACATCTACTGTAAGTTCTGCTACTGCTTTTTCCGTGCTCCCTCCAAATGAATCGTAGCCTGTACAACTGAGCCAGGCTTTATGTCTCTCTGATAATTTTGTATGAGGTTGTCAGATTTTATGTTAATTGAACTTGTCAGTAAGGCATCAGTTGGATAATAATGCTGTGCATTTCGGGAGGAAAGGGCTTATTGTTCTATCCTTTTATTTTCTGAGGGAGTGGGAAGAAGAAAGTGTGGTTTTGTCCTTTTGAAAAGCTCCAAGCTGTTGAGGTTACAGCTCACCAGCCTCTGTTTTATGTAATCTACATATACTACTTTCTAAATAAAGTAATTGTAAAGCGTCTTTCAAATGTTCTTGGATTTCACCAAGTAGCTATTATTTTGGGAATAGCTACCTAAACATTTATTTAATTAAAAAACAAAAAAAGAGAAAAAAGGGGGGAGAGAGAGAAAGAGAAAACACTTTATTAAAATCCTGGAAACATCTGTAGTAACTAAACATCAGAGACACTGTCGTTACACAGGCTGCTGTTCACGTGAGGGGTCATTCAGAAATACTTCTTTGAAACCTAATTCTGAGTATCAGTTGTCTTTAATGAAACTTTTCAGTTGCAAAGACTTTCACAGTGAGATGAAAAATTTCTCATTTTATGTAATGAACTAACTGTTTCTGTAGAAATGCTATTTAGTGTGAAGGAGTGCTAACTTTTGCAGGTAGGATTGTCTAATTTACAGTATGGAATCCTTGGGGAATAAAATGCTGGGCTGTAAATTTTTCAGCTACATAACTTTTTTTTCCTTTTTTTTTAAAGTACAAAAAGCTTACCTGAATACATATTTGGAAGGCTTGCAGAGTGGTTTCAATGGATCGAACAAAATAACTACCACCTGTTTGGATTATTGTTAGGAATATATTGTAAACCCTGCAGAGAAATAAAATATCACAAGTCATTATCCCTTTCTGCTGTAAAGTTCCTCTTGAAGGGGGATGGCATGGTGCCTCTTTCTTGATCTTGAGCTTGTATGTCTGGAAACTGGGCAGTATTGGCATGGGTACACTGTGAAGCAGCGTAGTGTTGCAAATGTCATAAAGACTCATGGCATTGCCTTACCCCGCAAATCTAATGTCTTCTGTTTTTTTTTTCCAAAGGTGTGTACTTTAATTATGGTCTTCTTTTTATCTCCTTCAGTTAATAGTCTTGACTTCCTTAGATATCTAACTTGGAAGTTGAATAGAGGAAAGGGAAAAAAAAAATAGTGTGAAATCAGGTCATGCAACATCTAGGCATGACGTATGAATATTTGCTGGAAAGATTTTTGAAACAAACTCATGAAGACTCATTTTCAACTGTTTACTTCTATTTATTAAACAGAAGATCCGTTACTTTAATATGCTGTGATTTTTGTCTGGCATTGCTGAAATATAAATATGAGAAGAGAATGTGTAAATTAGCACCTGATATTTACCACTTTTGTTCTGAGGATAGGATCAAAATGCTGTATGAACCCATCTCTGGATTTTTTACATTTTGAGTTTGTATCTTCCTGGTTTTAACAGAAGCTGTCTTTGATGCCATTAAGACAGCTCCATTTTTAAACATGCATAGTGGGGAAAAAAAAAATGCTGTATCTTTTTGTCCAGATGGTGATGTTTCTTTTCATTTCAGAATTCAGCTTCTGAGTTGATCCTAGTTGAAGACGAAATGACAGATACTGAAGATAATGAAGAGGAGGATTTAGGAGTCATGGATGATCAACGTAGTGTAATTCTCCATCTCATCTCTCAGCTCAAACTTGGCATGGACCTTACCAGGGTATGGACACTCTATCACTTTTATAATTGTTCATTATTTTTAATTCTTCTCATCCTTCTCTGTGTGTGTGTGCGCACACATGTCGTTCCTGTGAGCATGTTTTGCCCCTGTGGACAAGGAAATTTGCCTCTTTATGAAGGTGTGGTTCCAGAGAGCTATGGAGTGTGGTCTCCTAGTAGGCAGGTTTTCATACAAAGTGATAAGGTTAGGAATTGGAGGGTGGTGTGGGGGAGAAGGGAAAGAAAAGAGAAGAAAAACACACACACACACCCCCCCACACACACACACCCCCCCCCGCAACCCTTCCTTATTTTTTGTAAGTCTTTCAAAGCAACCATATGTTGTGTATGTATCCCACATGTATGTTAAGTCAGTGTGCACTGAGTGTTTGAGGAACAATAATGGCAATTGTATCGATGAACGAGATGTGTGCTCCAGTTACTGCTTTGTGGATTGGATTCCATTTAATTACTTGGCAGCTTCAAAAACACCATGATGGTGAAGAAATTGGAATCTTCAATGTGTCACTGTTCTTGTCCGTGCTAAGCAGATCACCAGTTTAACCTTCTGTGCATCCTTCTGGTACTAGAACCAGTGTTGTTATTGAGCATATCCATACTGATAGGATCAGAGAAGTTATGGTGTCTGAGAAATTTCCCATAAATCCTTAGAGCTTTGGAAATGAAGTAGATGTTCTGGAAGCAGAGAATGCGTCTTTGAATAAGTCCTACATTCCAGTGAAAGCTTCTTATGAGGTTTAATAAATAATCAAGTGGCTTTTTATAAAGATATGGCATACCCTTTCCTTCCACAAAGGTTTTCTGCTTAAAAAAACCCAAATGAAACCACTATAACCCACTTCCCACAAATAAGAATTGCTCATTCTGACACACCCTCCACAAATAAAAAAAAGTTTGGAATGACCAGAGAATTTCCCTTGTGCTTTGATTTGAAGTAGCTCTGCAGGAGATTCTTCTCCTGGGCATTTTGACATTCTGAAGAGTTCATCTGCTCTCCTTTTGATCTTGCATATTAATCAAAATATATTTTTACTACCACTTTCTTACAAAATAAGGCTTTCTTAATACAGTCTTTTCTGCTTCCTCTGGAACAATTGACTCTATTTAAAAATACTTACATTTTTAAGACTGAGCAATCCTGTAATCTGTTGCTAAGTATAGCTATTGAATAGCTGCACAGAAATTAATTTTTTGTTCTAAGTAGAACAAAAGTTTCATCATTTAATTTGTGAATAATTTATACCTGTCACTTCTTAGTATGTCTGGGGTTATGTACAATTCATTTTTCTTATAGTTTTGATTTTCTTATAGTCCTCAGTTTTTTATAGCTCTTTGTTTTCTGTATGTTGATTTGCTAAGGCTGTCTGAGTCCATAATATTTAAACTACACTAAATTCCTTATCTGTTGTTCTTGTGTCTTCAAAGCATTTTGTCTTTGGTAATGAATAAGATGTTTCTTCCCTGATTTCCAGTGTCATCTTTTTCTCATGGCAGAGGAGGCAAAACCCCAAAGACACACAGTTAATGTAAATAAGAGAAATTACTGTAAATAAGGACAGTGTAGATACTTATAAGAAAAGTAGGAAGGTAAATATATATAATAACCTATTTCATACATAGTGTTCTTAGAGCACAGTTTTTGAGGACAGTGATGAATATTATCAGATCTATGGTATGGCGAAATACTAGCATGCATGAATGTATGTATATAATACCCACAGTCTGAGAAGAGGAACAGGCATATGGCAGAGTTATATCTAGCTCTGGTCTGCGTGATGCATGAATACACATATGATGAGTATTAATGAGACATGCCACATGTGCACATCACTTTTCTGACCATTTTAAGGACAAAAAAAAAAATTACAAGACAGCTGGCTGTTTTTTATTAACTTTGCTTACTGGCATGAGGCCCTTAGGGCCACAGATGTGTGATGATAAAGCTTGGTTTGTTGGCTGCACATCTTCTCATTTTTCGTTATTCCTCTGAAAGTCAGATTTCAGATAGCCTTGATGCTAGTCAGCTGCTGCTGGAAGTGGTTGTGGCACAGTAGTTGCTAATATGAGAGGATGTTTTATATGTTTCCATTTTCCTGTACCTTCTTCCATAGGGTTGTTTCTTTGGTTCAGTTTGTGAGCTATGGATTGTAACGTAATACACATGTGAACAAACAGCTTTTCTGAGCCCTTGGTGGCTTTGGGTTTTGGATGCATAATCATTATCTTTATGTACCGTATCAGAGGAAACAGCATCTTTTCCTTTTCCTATGGGGTGATTGCTTATGTTAGTCTTGGCCTTGCCTGCGCTGACATCAATTTCCCACAGTGATAATAGCCACATTTAACGTTGCAGAGGTGCTTCACTGCTGAAATGTGTCATGCTGCCATGCCTTTTAATGAGGAGTTAAACAGTAAAAATCTACCGTGAAGGAAAACACCCGCAATGAAGTATTAAATCTGCATGGGGATTTGCTAGAACAGGCTAGACTCTGTGGTGGCCAAATAGACTTTAATAGCTGCTAGAGAGAGTTGGGTGGAGGAGCAGTTCACAGCAGCAGAACATAGTACAAAACTGATGCTTTGGACTGGGTGAGGATTTGAAACCTCAGTTAAAATTGGAATTGCTGGGGAAAAAAAGGGTTTCTAAATTGTTTGTTCTTTGGGCTTTTAAAAAACGAAAAACAGCGCCAAAGAACACTGACAGCCTGATAAATTTGTGGGCAAATGGCATTTAATGGATTGCAATTAATGCTAACAGTTTGTACAGATGGGTGATCGCTCCCCTGCATTCTCTCACCTTCCAAAAATAAAGGGCTGCCATTCTGTGTAAAAGGGCTGCCAGTAATTCTACAGAATATGAACCTGCTGTAAATTAACATTGTAGTATGTTCACAATGTCATAAGTTTTTAATTTGCTTGTCAATACACTTTAACCTTGCAATTTAAAAATGTGTGATAAAAATAGCTTGTTTTATTCCCACAGTGACATAGATGACAGTGGAAAGCTTTTGTACCTCTAAGAGAAGGACATCTCAGCATGCAGTACCTTGGTCAGATTTCTGAAAAAAATAGGGAATGGTGCTGACACCCATGATTTGCCTCAACAGTAAATAGTAGCGGGGATAAGTATCTCTGTTTTTAAGAAGTCATGCTCTTACTTTTCTCAGTTCCATTCAGTTCTAATTAAGTATAGGTGAATTCAAACCTAGGAGATTATGATCAAGCTTTAAAGCAATATGCTCTTTTTAACCTCAGTGAAAATGAATGAATGCCCATTAAACCCCTTTTCACGTGAAGCCCGAGAAGGAATAAGAACAAAGATTATTCTAACATTTTAGAATGCCATCAGGAGATTTTTTGCTTCAGACTTCAGCAACTTGGTATTTATTCTAGAGAGATTCTTTTGTCCATTTCATTGTCATGCCAGCTTTTTCTCAGAGGAAAAAAATTAGGCAGTTTTGACTTTTTATGCCATTACAAAAAAAAAAAAAATTTGTTCTAGTCCAGTCCAAAACCAATATAAAGAACATAGGTCCTAAGTGTATTTTTCTAGACAGTGCATTCTGTTTGGCTGCAGAAGAGTTGAAAACCTCATTCCTTTGGAAGCTAGTGTACTAGCACAAGTGCATGACAGTACAACGCTGGCGAAAAGAATGCTGTATGCTTCCAAATTTGTTTATTTCTGTTTTGCTTATTTCTGCAGAAATCAAGATTGGGCCAATTAAAAAAAAAAAGACTGACTTTTTTTTTCTTTTTGACTATCTTAGTATGTGGTGTTGTTGCATATTGAACCTTTGAGGTTATGAGGTTATTTAGTAAAAAGCAGTGTTTTCTAGGCATATTTTGTAATGCTGGAGTTGTGTAAGCTTTCAAACTCACATCTTTTTCATATGTAGTTCTGCCTCCTTTTGTGGAAACAATTCAGTTATTCTGCATTTTGCAGTGGATCCTTTCCTGCTACAATTAAGGGTGTAGTTTCCATTTTAGTTGGGCTTTTAAAGCAAAATCATTTGAGCTTGGAGTTCAAGCTTTATTCAGATTTTAAATTGATTCCTGAAACTGAATAATAAGAGTCCAGTGATTCGTAACATCTTATTTAGTGGCTGTGTTAAGTATGTAGCTGCAAAACGCACAGCTAATACTTGAGAGAGTAGATATGAGGACTATATGATTAAGTCAACAGAATGAAACCACAGCAGCCTTAATGTTGTACCATAAAATTTGCATCATCTTAAATATGGTCTGTAGTTTTTATTCTCCTCCATTTGTGCTAATAAAGGTCACTCTTTTTAGAGACACATACTTGGACATAAGAAGATGCCGAGTGCTGTTTATTCAAATGAGTTTCTCTGCCCTTTCAAGTCTGTACAGTGAACTCATGATAGTCACTGCGAGTATTTCTAGACAGAAGTGATGGGGTTGTTTTTATTGTGTTTTGCTGTCGGTTTCCCCTTTGATAACCTGATCTTTGAGTGTACAATTTATATTAAAATGAAATCCTGTATTGAGGGTCAGTAATGCTGAATTACATTTTTTAAGATTATATCGGATAATGAATATTTAGTCAGAATGAGAATGCTGCAAGTAAGACAGAATTGTTAGAGCTAAGAGTACTCTAAGAAAATCTACTGCTTTTTCACTTTGCCTTCCAGAGTTTTAGATTTCACTTTTATAAACCCATCTCCTCAGCCCCTCGCTATCACACCACCATGGAGACTGTAGGCTGTCTTTAGCACTCAGTAGTTTGCCACGCATAGTGTAAAATTAAGGTCCTGCATCTTTTGGGGCCTCATTAGGTTGGTAACAGAGACAATGTAGAGTCCTCAAGGCTTACAGAGTAGAGTCAGAGGAATATTACAGATGGAACTTTGCTTGATTTATAGCTAAGCTTGTAAAAATTATTAGCCTATAAAAGACTCTATGTGTGTAAATAATACACAGAAGGAGAATGAGCATGTATGTTACCAAATGGAGCAGTGATCTTTTTTTGTAGTTGTGGTATGTTGGCTTACCGTGTAGCTGTTAAGACTGCATTTAAACCGTTGTGACTGGAATTTTTTTCCATGTTTACAAGTTTTCTTTGAAAAGAACTAAATGATGAACAGAAGTTTGACAGCTTCTATTTCATTATCCATGGGATCCAAAAAGGCTGAAGTGTGCTTTGGTCCCACTTAGAACAGCAAGCCTGGGCAGCAGGGGGGAAAGCAAATGTGTTTTATTGAAGGGTGGCTCCCTGCCTGCTGTAAATAACCCTTGCTTTTGGGAAAGGGAAAAAGTAAATGCAATGAAGAATTAAAGAGGAAAGCAGAAGAATTACTTGAAAAGTGAACAGATGTTGGTCTGCATCTGGCGTCCTTGAGACACTTTGATTCTAGACAAATCTGTGTGTGCCAGAATTTCCTTGTTGGTCACGCAGGAGCAAACTCTGAGCTCCCCTGGGATGGTCCCGCACAAGTTGTGGAGCGTGGGGGAGAAGGAAGGGAGATAAATGAATTATTTTAGGTCCTGTAGCCCTTGTCTGACTTGCAGTGCACTCCAGAATGATTCATTGAAAACTTTGAACAAAGTGTTACTCCTAAGTGGGTGGCGTTGGCAACATCTGCATTGCTAGATGACCCACTCAAGACTGCAGCCAGGTCTGGCTCCCTCCAGCGCAGACTGCCTAACGCTCAATCCCAGACTTTTTTCCGGACCCCCTGGAGCCTCTCTAGTCCTAGGTCATTAATGTAAGAGTTTGTGCAGTTTTTGTTTGTTTCAACTTGCCCAAAATAAGGTGAAGGCATGCAGGGGCCCACCACAGCAGCATGGTACAGTCTCAAGCTTTGGGGGTGAAGGAAGGCGTAGGTGTGGCAAGGGATTTGACTTGGGAGGTAGGAAGGGACATGACACGTACAATGACAGTGTAGGGCAGGAGGAGTCCAACTGGGAGCGTTTTCTTGCCTATAGCCTCTTGGGAATGGTCCTTGGCATGGTTTTACCCCTGGAAGCACACCTGAGATTTTGGTTTTGGTTGGATCTAGCTGGCTCGGTTTGTTAGAGGCTGGAAGGGACCTAACACGTATGCAGTGGGTAGTCAAGGGCCCAGGACTGAAATTGGGAGCCCAGATGTTTGGCAGATTGGGTAGATGTACCCCTTACGCTCTCCACCTCTTACAAGTTGGTGATGTGTGTGTTTACATAAATTACTCATCATCTAGTGGTTTGGGAGGGTGTGCCCCTCCGTTTTTGGAGGGTTGTGATTAGTTGGGTTTGTTGATGTTTGATGTAAATTAATTTACATCGAAGTATGTTTTTATGTCCTGTAAACAGGGAGAACAATGGTGGGTTTGTTAACTGAGAGGAGAGGAAAAGGCAGATTTCCACCTGAGTGGAACAGCCCATCCCTGTTGTGTGAGCTGCTGTTGAGAATCATGAAATAAGCAGCAGCCTGCATGACTATCAAGGCTGCTGCTTTTTCCTTCCCTCACTATTTACACTGCAAAGAAAACGAAATCGCTGTGGTAGGGGAGGAAAATACGCTGTCCCGAAACTTGGGAGGGCCAGAATTGAAGCTCTCTTAACTGTTGTCCCCCCCACCCCTTCCCCTGTGGTAGTGTGATCATGGGGAAATCATATCTGCCTTTGTCTGCTTTGCATACAGGTAGTGCTTCCAACATTTATTTTGGAGAAAAGATCCCTGCTGGAGATGTATGCAAATTTCATGGCCCATCCAGACCTGTTTTTGTCAATTGCAGCTGGAGCCACTCCCGAGGAAAGAATTATCTGCTTTGTGGAGTATTATCTAACAGCTTTTCACGAAGGCCGAAAGGGAGCGGTTGCCAAGAAGCCCTATAACCCTATAATTGGTGAAACGTTTCATTGCTCGTGGGATGTGCCTAAAGATAAAGTGAAAGCGTTCAGAACTAACGGTGCCTCCACGGTTGCGAAGGACCCAACCAAGGAGTTTGGCCAGGACCAGTCCACGTGCTACAAGCTGAGGTTTGTAGCTGAACAAGTATCCCATCATCCACCGGTATCTTGCTTTTACTGTGAGTGCAAAGAGAAGAAAATGTGTGTGAACGCTCACGTATGGACGAAAAGCAAGTTTATGGGCATGTCAATAGGTGTTTCTATGGTAGGTGAAGGTAAGAAATGTGCTTTTATTTTGATTTTTTGAACTAATGTTGTGGGTGTCAACACAACAGAAACTCACATATTTTCCTGTTTGCTCTCCCTCTGACCTTTCATTTGAACCTTGTGGCTACTTGCTTTTGTGAAGTTTGGAATTAAAACTGTAGGGTTCATATAACTTTTTTCTGTCCAGACAGAATGTGAGGCACACATTACATACATAAATGTATGCTTATATTTATGTGAGTCTGCTACCACAGCTACTACACTTCAGCTATAATTAAGTTGCAGTAGCAAATGGCTACTGATAGCATATTCTGTATGAACATTTTTATTTGTCTTGCTCGCTTTTAAAGTAATACGTGATTTGGTATGGGACAGCTTCACAACTGGAGCAAAGCAATAGGAAAAACCATGTTTTTACTTAAGTCTAACATTCTTTTTTCATAGTTTCTGCAAAGAATCATGGTTTCTGTAGTGTTTACAAAGTTAGAGTATTATCTCAAGCTTTATAGAAAGTCACATAGTCGAGGTATAAATTGTGGTTTGCTGTATGATACATGTACAGTCTGCTTTGTGATAAGTCATTGCTCAACATGAATTCAGAAATAAAGGGAATTATAGCAAATTCTTAATGGATGATCTGAACTGATAAACACACCTATACCAGTGTCATTACTGACTGCTAATGTATTGATTTAACGTTTCTAAGCAATTTAGTCTGTCCCTTTTGCCATTTGAGGGTAATTTCCTGTGTATTGTTTTTAGTGTTTTGTCTTAGCTAGTTTGCAGACTGTAGTCTCAGAAGTACCAGGACAACTTACAGGAAATGCTTCTTTTTGTCATCATTATGTTAAGTACTGTGATATTAAAGGTCGTAAAAAAGCAGAGCGGGAAATGTAGTGATTTGGTTTTGCTTATTAACAACAACAAAACAGTTACGGAGAAAACATACAGACGTGTTCTGCTATTTCTACTAGCTAGAACCAAAGAACAAACTCAAACAGTACAAAGGGCTACAGTAGCTTCTTTTCTGATGGCAATATAGTCCTTTTTTTTATTTGTGTAGAAGAGCCATGAAACTTCCTTACTGCTGGATTTGAAATTGTTGTGATAGCTGAAGTCTATAGCAGCACTGCTGTTTCCTTCTTCCTATGATTTAGGTATTTTGCTTTTAATACAGAGTTAAGGAAGTTGGGAAGGGAGTGTCAGAAGGGAAATTGGTTCTTCTGTCTGTCTCCTGACTGTGCTACTGCCAGCCTGAGTCATTGGTTTAACTTGCTGCATTTTTCCGGTACATACTCGTTTCTAGTACTGTTTTTCTCAGTGGAGAGTGCTATTTAATGGAAATAAAATTAAACACAAAGTCACTTATGATTATGTAGGAGTAGGGAAATTTCTTTTTCTTGTTGCTAGCACACACAGTTCCCTGGGATTGGGGGTGTCTACTGTGGGGATTATTTAAGACTTCAAAGTTCTGATGTGTCCCAGTTTTGAGACAGAAAGGGTCTAGGAATTAACCACATCACTACCCCAAGGCTTGTTTAATGTGTGTTTGTGAGAATATCCTTTTTTTTTTTCTCCATGATCCTGGAGATAACCCAGGAGCGGAGGCAGGCTTTGGGGAACATCTGCAATGGCGAACTCTTTTATTGCAAGGTTTGCTGCCATCTTTATGATGGCCTTTTTGGGAGGAAGTTTGGGTTTACCAATTTATAGATGTCATTTGTCTTTTTTGTTCATGTAAGCAGTGCAGAAGCGTGCAGCTTCAGGGTAACAGCATTTCTGGAAAGTGACGGAGACACTCCAGTGCAGCTCAAGCATTTCTGTTGCATATTGAGGGCTGGCAGTAGGCAACAAGAAGTTGTACCACTGAAGTCTTTTTGCTACCTGAAAACAACCAGCTTAAACCTTCAGCCTCAGTTTAAAATGTTTGCTTCTCAGTGCAGTTTCTTCACTCAAAACTATACCTTCTTCAAAAATTTTTAAAATTTCTTTTAGTCCCAGGGAAGTCTTCCTATTTAAGTTGGTGTGCAGATTTCTCAAGCTGCACAAAAACTAGAATCTACTGCAGACGTTTTTCTCACATGCTGCATAAGTATAAATTCTCTGTTAGATTGAGGTCAGCGTGAGTACTGGGGAATGGGTTGCTGAACCAAGAAAAACTAGCTGCTGGATTTAGTGTGGAAAAACAATGTTTGTATTTACATGTCTGGTAATGTAGAGCGTAATAATTTTTTAATGTGAAATATAATCTGGAGATTTTCCCTGTATTCAAGGACATTTTATGCATTGCAGCATTTCAAATGGGGTGAGTTAGTCTAGCAGAGTAGATCGAGGAAAGACACGCTGTTAGTCAGAAGGTATGTGAAGGTAGTTAAGATAGGTAGAAACTAAACGTAGCTACTAGGAGAAGCTTTCTGACAATGAGGTTGGCTGATGAGGTTGTAGATCTTATTTTAAACTGTTAAAAGCAGATTAAGCAAATTGCTCAGGAATGATTGAAGTATGACTGATCCTGCTTTTGATAAGAGATAAAGCAACATCTCATGGATCATAGAAATCCCTGGGTTTTGTTTGTTTCTTTTTTTGCTACTGTGCATTGGATGACCAAACTAATAGTGTGTTATTGTTGATTTTTTTTTTTGTCTTGTCCCTCCCTCCTTTTGTTTCCATTATGAGCATTCAGCCCTTTTTTTTTGGCTGTTGCTGCAGTTTACTTATGTACATGTGGGTGCCTTTGACTTTTTGTTAGATCAGTAAGGATTTTAGATTCTGCATGATGCTCCTTGAAAGGCAGTTTCCTTGAGATCTCTAATATACCTCTGTCCATTCTGAGACTTCATTTAAATCATTCTGGTGTTGGTATAGCAGCTTCACTATACTGTGCATTCTTTCAGTACTATTTGATGTATGTAGGGAGAAGAAAATGCCTTCCAAACAGAGCATTAGAGAGCCACTAATTGTGTTAATGTTTTTAATGTGTTAATGTTTTGGATAATTCAGTGGTAGGAAGTGACCATCTTGTTCTAGTTCAGATATTTATCAGAACAATTTTGTTTGACCTGTAGCTTAGTTGTGGCCTTAGTGTTGAATACAAACAACTGTGATTTGTTTTGAAACTTTGCTCTCTACTGAATAGTTTTGTGTGTGGCCTTCAAACAATTCAATGAAGCTTTTTCTACTGCAGTTGGCTATTTACAGAAATAAAGAGTATTTTGACCTATATTGTGTAAGGAATATGCTGGTAATGTTTCTGTGGTGCTTTTGAAGTGTTTTTTTTTTTTTTTAACTTGTCACAATATCCTTAGATGTATAGAGCATGTTGCTTTTTATGCTTTGTTGTTAGAAGCAGCGGGTGGATATGCTGAAATAGGATGTCATGGAAGTACAAAGGCTTCTATAAGAACTTAAAGAACTAGGGGATTTGAGGACAGTATGGTCCTGTCATACAAAGGGTACAGCTCACTATCTTAATTGTACAGTTTTTAGTTTGTTGCACCTCAAAGTGACTATCGTTCCCCCCCCATCCCGTGATTTTTGTTTGTTGGTTCAAGTATCAGTTGCAGAGATGCAGAACAAGTAGGAAGGCACTGCTGGAAAACCATGTAAGAAGCTGTTTTATATGCTAGCCCTTCATCTGTGGTTATGAGGGGTCTAAATCTGGCTTGCTAATGAAATGTCCCAACTTTTTCTTCACTATATAATAAAACCCCATTCTTCAGAGTACTCAGCATTGAGTTTCCTCATGAGGAAGCTACCCTGAATAGAAGAGAGGGTGTTTTGCATAAAAGAATTCATGTTGGTGTTCAGTCCGTAATTCTGGTTAATGTTAATTGTGTACTAATGAGAGACTGAGGGAGGGGAAGAGAGTGTAATGAATAGAATCATATTAAGATTTAAATTAGCAAGGAATGGGAGAGTCAATGTAAATATTTAATGTTTTTTACATGGTCCAAAGAATCTTCAAACAGATAGTGGTTGGTAGGGTAAGGATGCTTTAGTGGAGAAGGCTGTGGTGAGCACACTTCAGTGTGGGCTGTGCATGTTCTTTTCTGCTCTTGGGTTTTCTTGCAAAGCAGCAAAATCCAACAAAAAGTGTCAGCTTTGATTCATGGGTTAATTTTGCAGAGAGAATAAAGTACCTTTAAGTGGATCGCTCTGTACTATCAAGTGGCTAGTTATGTCGTCTGTTTTCATTTCTGCTATTTTAAATGTTTTAAAAACTACTGAGGTATAGGCTTCCAAAAATTATTTTTTAAATTGAAATCAATCTTGAAAAGATTTGATAAGCAGGGAAAAGGCTCAGTGCTCTTTCCAGGGTAAATCTAAATGAAAGCCATGAATGTTTTCTCTCTCAATTTTTCTGTTCAAGTATATGTATGTGTTTATAGGCCTATAATTTCTATTCCTGAGGCATTAGTGACCTTTTAATTTACCAGTCCCAAAGATTGACTGCTCCATGCAACTGGAGCTACCAAATATTTCCCTAGTACTAATTTTTGTATTAATACTTTTTTATCCCAGTGGTTTCAGAACAGTTTCCATGTGCCATAGTACTCATTATTTAATTTAGCAAATGGCTCCAGTCTTTGGAAAATGAGCGGTGCAGCATTTATGAGATGATCAGAGCCCGGTTCTGGGATCTCGTGTTTTCCCGTGTGAACCTGCGGGGCTGGCGATGCACTACACCTGTGTGGGGTTGGTCCCATGCATAACTTACTCCTGATTGTGCGTGTTACAAATAATGCGGACGGTGTGAAGAGCCTGTTAAATTAGGAAACTGCCCTAGGCTATTTGTGACCCACGTGCCGTTTGTTGTTCAGATTGATCTCCGTACAATCGGTGGGAAGCATTAAATTTCACACGCCTCTTCTGCCGCTTATTGATCCAGAGCCTCCTCTGCGTATTTTGTCAATATGTGCTACTGGAAAATCAATTCACAAAGCTGCAGCATCGGTGAGGAACATGTGCTAGTCAACAGGAGAAGTTACATGCCACGAACATCACTTCCTTTAATGCAGGCTGAGGACTCGTGGAAAGGAGCATGACTGTGAATACGTTGCTTAGTCAAAAGCAGGAGTAAATGGTGTTGAGGACATTTCAAGGGGGAATTTCAAAATACCACATTTGTTTATAAAAAATTCACCCTTCTCTGGGGATTTTTTTTTTCCCCCCTAATAAACTAGATTATTAAATCCACTGCTCTCCCAGAGTACTTATCTGGTGCATTCTTCTATGCATGAATAGCTGCCTATAAATACTTAAGATTTTTTTTAAAAAGAAATTTGCAGTTTCCAAAATAATTCTTTGATGTGAGAAGAGGAAACATTACTGAAAATGGGAGAATTTTCTGCAACTTTTCATGTATATTTACTTACAGCCATTTTAAAACTAAAAATGGATAATCCCTTGCAGTGAGGAAGCAAGGGAAGAAAAATAGCCTGCGTATTTTCCAGCAGATAGTTTTAAAGGTCAGTCACAAGGTAATGATACTTATAAGCAGATGTTAAAAGTACACAACACTTTAAAAAATAGTTGTTAGATTAATAATTGTTTTTCTGCCTTTAATTTCTCAAGATTTAAACCCAGCAGGGCAGGGCATGAATTCAAATTGTCATAGCAGTTACAAATGGTGATTCTGGGTGTTATTTTGGCTTCATCTTCCCTAGGAGAGCATGGGTCTCAGTTCGGACATGGTGGTGCAGCTACAGTCTTCATGGTGCTTCAGTTAAATGAGGTTTTGCATGTGGACTCTGCAAACAAAGGAATGCAAAACGAACAGTCACGTTAATGCTAAAAGTAGTATCAAATTGTGGATATTTCAAATCTTCCCTTCATTCTTTTGTAGGTTATAATTATTGAGCGGGAGTCCTATTTCAAGTGAGATAGCACTTCATTAAAAATGTATTTATTCAGGTGTTTAAGGAATTCAAAAAATATGCTACCAGATGCTAAAAATACTGCCAAGAGAGCTGGGTTCAGTTTTTAATATCTAACCTGCTGTGGTGGTTAAATATTTACATTGAAGGTCACTGCTGTTATTTGCTGTTCACTTTTCAGTGTGCTTGGCAGCATTCGTTAGAGCTCTGCATCCCTCCCACTCGAGTTTGGAGGAAAAAAGCTGTCGATCCCATCAGAGACACAAAAGCAAACCTATACTAACCCAGGAGGAAATTGTGTTTATCATGCCAGTTTCCGCACGTGGGGACACGCAGTGGCGGTCAGAGGAGGATGGCTGGGCCGGGGGAAGTAGGAGGCTCTGGAGAAGCTCGCATGAAGGTGTGGTTCATAAATACAGTGAGGTTCTCCCCTGGTAGTGAGCACCACAGCTGCCCGCTGTACTGCTGTTAGACCTTTGGTCTTTAAAGAAACCCCCAAAACCAATCACAAAAACACAACAACAAAAGCCCCAAAACTGTCATGTTGGAAGCCGATGCTTTCAGGCAGACTGTGCTTTTTGACTGTGTGACGATTATGTCTGTGCTTAGACCATTAAGACGGGGGAAACGTGACCTCATTGCTAGTACGGCAGGCCATTGCATGCAGCTGGTTGCTGCTGCTGCATGTCTGTTGCCTATAACTGTAATGAAGAAGGTGGAGAAGAAATAGGAAGAGGAGGAGAACGGAAAGCTGACAGACTTGAGTCTAAACCCCGTTGTAGGTCCATGTGGAAAATGCCAGACTGCAGACTGAAACGTTTCCTTTCTGTGTTTGATCAGTACCCTTTACCTTTCCTTGATCCTTTTTGAATATCATCATCTAGTTAAGAGGCTTCTTGGTTGTTCTTTATTAATTTAACATTATTATAGCATCCATTTAGTGAGTTTGATAAGCAGAGTCATCTTTTTGAGTAGAAGTTCTTCCTGGCTGCATGTCCTGGGTGAGTTGGGTACTTGAACCTTCCTGCAATGTGTTCAGCGTGGTTTTACCTGCAGGTATGGAACCGAGGAAGCTTGAGGCAAAACATGTGTGTGTTCCACCTGTGTCCTGGCTGTTCCCTGCTGGTGAGGGTTCAGCGAATGACACGAGGAACCTGTGACTTGCCGAGGCAGAATGATTAAAGGTCCTTTTAAGACATTGCTTTTTCTGTGTTTGTGCGTTTGCACTCTCCAGCTTATTTGTGTCAAACTTGCTGGAGTAGAAGCACTGGCTGTGTTGTTGCTGGCAAGCTGAGGTTATAGAAGTCCTGAGAAAAACTTTGTGAAACTATTCTAATTTGCAAAAGATGTTTTCCTGTGGAACAGTTTCAGAAGGCAGAAGTGACAAGTTGCAGAGCTTCCTGTGCCTGTGTTTAGTTCTGTTATTTGGACCCAACATTTAAGAAGGTGATTCTGTTAGAACTCTGTGCTTTTAAATTCTGAATGTTATTTACGTTTGTGTTTTCATACAAAGTTAAGGACATATTTTTATGTTGACAGTAGTAGTGCCTTGTCCCTGTTTAATGCTTTTTCACCATTATGTGTCAGATCACTTTGCAAAATCAGTGTCGTTATTCCCTTAAACAGATAGACAAACTAATCAACGCCAATGTGTTCCTCCCTTGTCTGCCCCAGGGTGGAGGCAAATTGGCTCAAGCTCCTCTTGTTTCTAAACGGACACTATTACTATGTCAAGATAATTTTCCTGGTTTCTTCCCCACCCCTCCCCCCCCAATATTTCTGGGTTCTGAGCGCTGCCTGTGATGGGTTATTTTCAATCCCTGCTGTGAAAAATTATTTTCAAAGCTGTAATTTTTGCTTTTAGGCAGTTATTAAACGGAACACAAAAGAGTGTAAAACTCTAATCAAAATACGTGATCTAATTCTGTGTGCGAAGTTTAGGGTGCTCTTTACCTGGTCTTCTGTCCTGTTCCTTGTCATCCTGAAGACACAACTATGATGGGGATAAATGTGCATCATTAACCCCGGGGGAAGCTAAGATCTGATCAGACAGGCAACTTGCTTTGTCGTTCCAAATAATCGTGAAAAATTAGTGCTACTGCATGTTGTGGTTTTTAGTTAAAACCCCGTAATACTGAGGGTGGAGGAACCTTTACAGAATGAAATAGAATTGCCAGTATTTTTCTCTGCATGGCAGAGACGTTGGTCTTGGTGGTAATAGAGCAGTGGCCCTGGTGGCCCCTTGCTGATTATGAAAGACTTTTGCAAAGGCTGTGTGGAAACCAGGCATTTGGAAATGAAGGAGCAAACTTCTAGGAAATTTCTCGATGGCTCCCTTAAGCATGTTTCCTGGTTGCACCCAGGCAGACGTAGAAGAGCACCTTTTGCTCCCACCAACAGACGTGGCAGTAAGAAATGAGCGGAGAGAACCTGGTCATGTCTGATTGAACGGAGAACTGAAGGGTCCTTTGGCCATGCCCATAATTTTTCTGGAGAGAGATTATGATAGGACACTGAGCATCTTGAATATCCAGTATGGCTTTTTGCAAGCAAATGTTAGTTTTTTTCCAACTCTAACAGTTTATTGTTTGTCAATAACACAAAATAAGTAATCCAGTCAGGTTTTCTGATAAGCTGTTTGGCACCATGAAGGACCCCAGGCTACACATTCAAATTGTGTGCTTTTGAAAATATTTGTTTGAAGAAATTTGTTCCAGAGGGCAGAGCTTTTTTTTTTTCTCCATAGCAGACAGTGCCCTCCTTCAAGGCAAATTGCACGTTGTGCTCTCTGTGGAAGTACGTTTTGATGACGGTAATTGTTCAGTGACTATCAGGTCTTATCAGTGAACTTTTATCACTTCACTTTCAACCTTCTTCCTATATAGGTGTTCTTTACTTGATGGAACATGAAGAAGAGTATGTTTTCACCCTGCCTAGTGCCTATGCTCGCTCGATACTTACTATCCCATGGGTGGAGCTTGGAGGGAAAGTCAACATCAATTGTGCCAGAACGGGCTATTCTGCTACGGTCACGTTCCACACCAAGCCTTTCTATGGAGGGAAGGTCCACAGGTATGGGAAGTTCTGTCTTATTCTTGTTTACCTGCTGCTGGATTTCAATGGAAAGACTCTTGGGCATCTCTTCAGTTCTTCTGTTGGAGTATTTTATAGATGGGTATCTGAATTTCTTTTCCTATTAGTGTCTGAGATGACTTACAGCTTTAGAGCACAGTTTATTGTAGTTATAAATTTCATATTGTTTAACTGAATTGGATATATTTCTCTCATTAAACTAAAGTGAATGTGCTCTTCCAGGCTTTGCTGCTTGTAGAAATTGCTGTAAGTGCAGGATCAGAAAAATGTACGTAGAAAAGGCAATATTTCTTCTACACCAGCTGCTGCTTCTGTGCGAGTCTGTAGATGAACTGGTGTTCCAGGTGGCCCCTATAAGGAGGAGAGAAGCAAAAGTGTTGTTGCCCATAGCGGTAGCTCCCTGATGGGGACTCCCACTTCTGCACTGAAATTCCAGTGATTTTCATGATGATGAAAATATTATTTGTGTCTTCAGTTCCTCTTTATTAAGGGTGTGAAGAAGCACTGTCCCAGATAGCTTCCTGTCTTACTTGCACGCTGAAGTTGATGACCCAGTCATTAACCCTTTCTTGTTCTGCTGTGGGCTGTAGCAGTGCCCATGACAAGGCCGTGTTGCCTGTTGGGTTGGTGTGCTTTTGCATAGTTACCTCTGTTTTGTTTCAGTTGGTCTAATTATTCTTCTGTATGTGGGTCAACCATTTCAATATTGTGTTCAGGCAAACATGGGCTGATTTGACAGGGGTTTTTCTAAAAGGTGTAGATTAATAATTGGCGCCATCAGGGTGACTGAAAATTGGGGAAGGTTGTGTTGTATTAGTTTAATAATTTAAAAACTTACTTGAGTTTACACATTACTTGATATGGCTTGCTAAAGCCCATGTGTGCATGTTTATAGAGAGAGACACACAGAGAAAACTTCTCCCTGCATTTTGGCTTTCCAGTCCTACCTATCTAGTTCGCTCACTCTCAGACCAGCTCTTGGATCACTGAGGTAACTTCAATCATTGCCTCTCAGCAGATGAGAAGTAAACTTGCAGAGCTAAAAAGAAAATAAAGGTACCTGAAGTCTTTGGCATAGGTGTCTGACAACATTATGTTCAGGTGTGAAAATAACATGCATACTGAAAATGTCACGTGAATGTCAGGGGTTGTTTTTCAGGCTAACGAGGTAAACAGTTCTGGCTTAGAGCTGAATATCAGAGTTTTAAGTTCGGTTACTGCTGTGCTTTGGGTGAATATCGTCCAAAAGCTATTGGCTGTGCTAGCAGAGCTTTCTTGGGTTGAGTCTTTCTTTGTGGAAACAGTATCACTACTTTGCTTGAAAAAATTCCTTTGTAGATACAGAAGGCTGCTTGGCTTGTAGCCTTAGCTGTGGTAGTGCTTTCATATGCTGATAATAAATGGTACCAGTTATTTCTGTGGTCGGTCTTTCTTCCCTCTTGAATTAGGGTTACAGCCGAAGTGAAACACAATCCCACGAACACCATTGTATGCAAGGCGCAGGGAGAATGGAACGGTACGCTGGAATTTACTTACAGCAACGGAGAAACCAAAGTGATTGACACTAACAAACTGCCTGTTACCAGGAAAAAGATTAGGCCGATAGCAAAACAAGGCCCGCTGGAATCGAGGTAAGGGCAGAGGCGTTAGTGTTCTGCTTCTGAACCTTGGATGGGAACAGCATGGGGGAGCAAACCGCGGTTATAAATGGTGTGGTTCAAAAAAAGCCTCGCTTCCTACAGCGCATTAATCTAGGAACAAATAGCTGAAGCTGTGTATTGGTTCTTTGGAACATAAATTACATTATAGTGATGTACACATCAATTTTGTAGAGGGAGAAGATGCTTGTATGCGTTTTAATGAGCAGTTTCCAAATGCTAATGCAGTGTTTTCACCTGGTTTTTTGGAGTGATTGTAACATGGTAGTCAAATCAGTCAGTTTGTTGGAAGTAAATTTACATTTTGTAATTTACACTGGACTTTCATGTATTATATGTTTTATAATATATATAAAAATGCAAATTGTGATGCAATGTGAGATATAAATACACACATATGGTTTTAAGGCTCAGCACCAACATCACCTGCCTAACTCTGAGTAGGTACATTAGAAAAAAACGTGTTCTGTTATTCACTGTTAATAACTTGTTGATACTTATGTTCAGAAAAATCAATATTTTTATTGAATTTAGGAACATTTTATTGGAGGATTTAAAAACATGAGTTAAGCTTCGTTTTATTATCTGTAAATATGTTTTCTTTATTGTACAGAGGTGTGTCTTGAGTAATTTTGCAGGGTTAGGTACCATTTTCCTATTGTCTAGACATTACAAACTCATTTTTCCCTGTAGTTCAGGAACAGAAAGGTTGTCGTAAATAAGGAAACCAGTAGCTCTGCAGTATATTTGTTGTATTTTTTGGGGGTACTAGTGAGCAAAGTACAACTATCCAGTGTTTCTACAGGATATGTAGTTTATCAGATTGTAAACAGAAAGTCATTTAAACACCCCTGGAAATTTCTGAAAGCTGCAGTTGGTTTCTCCTCAGTGTTCTTCTGGGCAAGGTTGCTGCTGGGCTAATATAGTGCGAGAAGGCGTCGCATCTGAATGCAGTCGGTCATGTGATAAACAAGTTTGGTTATATACTGATAATTATTGTTAACTGGGAATATGGAGCACAGACCGAGAAGGGCTCCCTAGAGTCAGTGCATCAACTCCTCTGTTGTGTCCCGATTTAATGGACTCTTGGCTTCTGTCTAACATTCCCCGACTCAAAATTTTAACTGCAAATAAACACAGCATAAATGCATGTCGTTTGGGGGTGGATCATCAATAAAGAATGTGAATTGGAAATGATTAAAAAAGTCCATCTGCTTTGAGCAAAAAGCTCAGGTAGTGCAGAGTCAGGAACACGAACAAAAGCTATTGAGAAAGTTAACTTGTGTGGTGAAACAGCGGGAGTTGAGCAAATCTGAAAATATGGTCCACAAACGCGATGAATATCCATCCTGGGAAAGCCATGGTTCCCAAGCTGTGTGACTTGCAAAAATGCCTTGGAGAGCGTGGCACCAGGCTGCCCCGGGCCGCACGGCTGTCTAGCCGGGTACTCGGCTGTGGCAGAAGTGTTCTCACTCTGCCACTTCTGCTCCTTCTCCGTCACGCAGGCACCTTTGGCAACACGTCACCAATTCGCTGAAAGAAGGTAATATTGATGCAGCCACAGAACACAAACACCGCCTTGAAGAGAGACAGCGAGCAGAGGAGAGGCAGCGTGTGGCTCTTACAACGCCGTGGAAACCAAAATATTTTGCCAAAGAGGTACTTTCATTGTCTTAATTTAAAGACTCCATAGCATGTTTCTGCATGTGGGAGGATGCTAGTGCAGATGAATTTGTCTGTGGTTTTTACTGTTGGCTAGTGTGGTGTTATACCACTGATTGTTTTAAATTGCATTTTTGCCAGAGTCTGGCTCTTAAAGAAGAGCAACGGATTTTTTTTCCATGTCCGTATTGTAAACTTGTTCACATTCCTTCAGTTAGATTTATTATAACCTGAGATTTTGGTACCTAATGTTAGGCACTTAAAACTATGTTTTCTATCTTAAAATCCACACCTTAATTTGCAAATGCTGTGTACTCACATCCCCTACCAATCTTGATCTCTGCATACTAAAGCGATCATGATCTAGGGATATTTGTCCAATGTAAATAAGCACGGACATCTTAAACACAGTCTTGGGTTTCATCTGCTTGAAATGAAACCGATTTTACCAAGTTTGTCTTTGCCCTTTCTTAGAGGAAAGGGGGAGGAGAAATAAGACTGGCTGCGGGAATTGTGATGTGACCATTCTTACATTAGGCAGGACGTGCGGCTATTTAAACCAGCAGTTCATCAGTTGCACCTTCGCAGTGTTTCTCTCCCCCTTGTAATTTTTTTCCCTCCTGCCCCAATTACCTGTAAATTCATTAAGCACAGAATTTCCACGACAGGGGTGGTTTCTTGTGTTGATTAGTATAATTTTAGCTTTTACGCGGACATATACAGATCCAGTAGGTATAAATCTTGTTTGTAAACTTTCCCTAATTTTCTTGCAGGGCGATGGTTGGCTATACTTGAATCCTCTCTGGAAGACCCATTGACGGGATAGAGCAGTTGCCTCATAACTTTACCTTAAAGGCATTAAAATGATACAGTATATAACTTCAAGATGTCATTGAATAGGTCCTGTTATCAGCAGATACAAACGAGAAGCTATATACTGTGAATGATGCATCTCAAAATAACCACAAGCTCAAGTTTATTCAGGAGCCATTTTGTGTGTATGGATACACAAACACACACGCACACGTCCATATATACACACATATATACACGCAGTGTGTATGTGTTTGTGTGTGTATTATTTACAGTACATGTAAACAAGTATAAACACTAACAGTGATTTAAAGACCTTTTCCTCTAAGTGTTAGGGCACAGAACTCTGGCTAGACTCAGCTGGGGTTCCCTGAGTTGTGTGCTTGCAGGATCAGGCCCTATGCTAGTATTTAAGAAAATACTTTTTTATTAGTACTGGTTAAGGTTTTTCTATTTTTCACTTTTGCCAAAAATGTTTTGCACTTAAAATGTGATGTGTCACTTAATGGCAGTCATTCTGTCTAAACAGTCATTGGGTAACTCACTTTGACATAAGAATGATACACTGACAGCGCGCTCGCTCTTCTGGATGCTGATTTAAGGGCATGTTTCCTGTCACTAATGAGCGTGAATTTTCTGCCATCTTATCAGCAGTAGCAATACCTTCTCAAGAACATTGTTCGCACTAAGCTGTTGTGTCCTCACTTTTTTGTTTGTTCATACTTCCAGCCACTTACCAGATCTCTGGTGATCCAGTGAGCCAGCTGCTCCGGTAATTTTGATCTTGCTGTGTAATGTTCTCTGGCTACTGTCACGCCAATGCTTTTGGGTTCTGTGTTCTGCTAAATCCCTTCGGGCAGATGTAGCGGTGGAGTTCCAGCTCACTCTTGCCTCAGCTTTCCACCCCCACGTAGGAGAGGCGTAGCGCGCCACTGGGCTGTGCCTGAGGCACCCCCCTTCACAGCCTTGCCTTGTAAGCTAAACCACTGCTGACGCAGTGAGCTCGTGTGGTCAGAGCCCTTAATTCCCTCTTCAGGCTCCAAGCAGACCTGTATTTTGATTTCTTTTGCTTTTGACCCGGTTGATTGCTTCTGGATGAAATAGTTGGATGAATAGAGATAACTAGCCTTCTCAGATAATGATTTTCTGATGTAAAAGTAACAATTTAGTAAATTATTACACTGAGACAATAAGTATATTAAACATATGAAAGGGGATAGAATTTGTTTAGTAAAGTAAAAAAAAAAATAAGCAATCCTGTAGCTTGATCTTGCTTTGTAAGGTAACCACTGTGACACTAAGAAAGTGGATTCTAAAAGCATGTTAAGGCTTTGTTGGTTTTCAGTTCGTATTTGTTGAAAGTGAAAATGTTTTTGAGAGAAGTGGCAACAAAAGGCAAATGTAAAATGTGCTGACTTCTGCTCAGCGCTTCTTTCTACAGTGCCCCGTAAAGAAACCACTAGACTTCCAAAATACACTAGCACGGATGCCTACCTTTCTGTAGTACTGATTAATTTTGTGCCTTTTGTCTGCTTGCTTAATACAATAACTTTAGGCTTTATAGATATTACACAAATACATTTAGGTCAAAGCACTGCTTGTGTCTGTTCTTGTGCATTCTGCATTTTATAATTATTTTTTTGGTAGATGTTAAAATTTCTTCAACTCAGAAGGCTAAACAGAGGTGTGTACGCAAGCAAACATGCCATTGGTTGTTCTTTTGGTCATAGTATTTAACAGATCTTTACATTTGAACTTCAGAGCCCTATTTAATGAAGGTGTGGCTCCCTTTTCCTCCTCAATGCTATTTTGTCTGCTTGTATGTCCTTTTTTTGCATACTAGAAAGATTGACGTTATAAACTGTTTAAATCCTACTTTTAAAAAACACGTGGACTGTATGAGCTTGGTTTTGTAACTGACAATTTTTTTTTTTAAGGAAAAAACAAAATCTTATTTTTAGGAATAGTTGATGTTCTTTCTGTAACAAAACCAAAATGATGGTGTCATAGAAAATCACTGAACTACTACTGGGTATCATCAGGAAAATGTGTACTTTATCACCTGCAAGAATTAACTGCATAACGGATCCACTCGTGTTCTAGAGGTTGGTCTGCTAAGTAACTAGAAGTATTCATGCAGTTTGTAATAGCATCACAATCAAAAATGCAGAATTAAACACGCGGAACACCCTCCCAGAACTTTGACTGTCACACACCAAAGAACAAGCCACATACTCACTCAAAATAGCCATTGAAAACCTCTCTCTGTCAGGCCTTGCCGGCCTGCGCTCCGGAAAGAGTAGACCTCTTTCAGCTTGGATGGTATGACTGTCGAGGCTACAGAGATGCTGTAGCCATTCTTTTAAGGAGAAATTTGAATAATTTTATGCTTGTAATTTATTGAAGACTTTTTCTGCCTGCATGGTTGGTTGTTACTGCATGCCGAGAACATTCCACTTGTGCTCTGATAAATGTTTTTGTTTTGTTCTGATGCTGTGAAGAATCCCCTGATGCCATTACCGCTGTTTCTTTTCCCAAGTAACTTGGGAGAGGCAAACATAAAAATAGTCCTTTCTGAAAATTTCCCATCAGCGAGAGATTCCAGAACAAGATTCACAAGTGTCATTTTGTTTTTCTGATAGTGAGGTGTCCCGTATATTTTACAGGACTGAAAAGTAAATGTTCAGCAGCCTTATTCTGTAGGTTGTTCCACTAGCCGTCTTGGACTTGCAAGTTAATATTTTCCTTTTCAAGTAGCCAACGTACACTCTGAATTGTAATGTAAAAACCTCCATGTACTTCAATTTTTTTTTGTGCACACCTGTAGAAAGCCTATGCAACCTTTTTCTTTCTTATATTAGAAATGTTCAGAAAGAAAATTTATACTTTTATCATTTAAAAGATGCTCTGGCAGTCTCTTCTGATTTGCCTTCCTTTCATAATTTGTGAATTTAAAATGACAATGCTTATGAATAAAAGATTTGTTTCATTTAGTAGTGGGATGCCCTTTCTCTTTCCATTGAAGCATTCGTTAACCCGTATTGGTGACGCGGGTGTCCAGGAGCAGCGTACAGCACCTGCAGCATGCGGGGCGCCCGCGAGCCCTTTGCAGGGTTCCCATAGAAGGGACTTTGTCAGCCGAACGCTGGTTTGTTGTGGGGTTTTTCTGCCCTCTTCATGCTGCTGGACGCTGTGTAGGTAAGTTTTTGTTCAAACTGGACAGCACTACACGGGGAAAACAGGGCTGGGGCTGCATCACAGCTTTAGGAAAGGCTGGGGAATGTAATGCCTTATTTTGACAAATAAAAAGGAGAGAGGGTAAGGTATGCCCTTGTTTCTGAAAATCTTTCACTCTTAGTCTTTGTCATTGACAGAGATTCTTGATTAGATACTTCCTAAAATACAACTCTAAATTACTGCAGCATTGGACAGTTGCATGGGGAGGAGAAATGTGCTTAGAGGCTTCATGGATCCTGGTCAACACTTTTCAGCTGTCAGATGATGCAGTTCCAGTTTATTTTAAACATTCATCCACAGTGTTGGATACTTTTCATGCTTTGTTTTTATGCAAAACTGAAAACCAGTGGCTGTAGATAGGACAGGAAACAACCCAGTCGTGGTGCTTGCCGTTTGTTGCATTGCTTCACAGAAATGTCTTGGAGCACTCTTAAGATTTGGTTTAAAAACATTATATTGAGTTTTAGTTGTAGCCAAATGTGATTTATTTTGAGTTCTTACTCATAGTGGGATTGGTATGTACAGAGGGCTGAGTCAAAACATTTAACTGTTGGTTTTTTTAGGAGTAAAATCTATCAAGATATTTAACTAATGACTCCTCTCCCCCTCTTGTTATGGAATTACTTCCACAAGGCAAAATATTTCTTCTGGGATTACCAATAGTACTGTCTGCCCTCAGTACTTTCAACAGTAATGACTAAGTGAGACAGAGCTCATGCAATTTTAGTTCCTTAGCAACTGAAGACTAGAGCCTGGCTTAAGCATTTTTTTTTACTTCAGATTTGACTGTTTTATGCTTCAAAATCTTCAAATTCTGATGTAGGAGAACAACAAAAGGATGGCTGTAGCTAAGGAAATAAACTACTATGGAAGGTAGGTTTGATAATGATGCACAATGCTAGTATTCTTTGCTGGTACAAGCATGGTTCAGTTCTCTGAAGAGGAGGAAGGTAGTTTAGCTGAGTAATTCTAGGATGCAGGTGGAGAACCAGGTAACCTAGGTGGCATGTAGGTTCCTGAGGAACCAAGGACGGTGATACAATGCCTGCCTGTTCTTCTTTGTAACTTTGTTTTTTCCCTAGTGGCTGCCTTAATGACTCCCAACTTTTAATTTAATTTCAATGCAGAACATTTGGCAGCAGCCTTGAAGTGAAGTTAGATTTTGGAAAGCTCAGGTAATCAGTAGGCAACTTTAGGCCCAGGCTGGCTAAGATTGCTGTAGTTAGCTTATTTTTCTTTCTCCCAGCTTTAAAAATGCTATGGAAATTGACAGGATTCACTTATTTCTGGACTGTTAAAGAGAACAATTTGACAGAACTGTAAAGATACATAAAGATGGGAGGGCAGCCTTTGTTTTTAAAACAAGGCTGAGTTAGTCAGGGGTTGGCACTGACCAGCAGCATCTGTTCTGCTGGCTTTCAGCTGTTCCTCCAAATGTTAAAGTGTTTATTTCTTACCGCTGGTGAGGGGGCAGGATGCGGATTTTCTTGGAAGAAGCCAGATACTACAAATCATGCATCACATAATCACCCCTTCTGCTTGCGTGTATGCAACTGTAGCAGCCTGAGCTTCTCCAGCTGCTGGAAGGATTCACTGCAACATGTGTGCTCAGGAACGATGGCTGCTGTTCTCTGAAAATACTACAGCCACCTACATTTGGCTTAATGTTAAGCTGGAAGTACGTTAAGTAGCTCCTGTGGCTTCACTACAGCAGCTTCATGAGGTCAGCAGATTTACATTAGGGAGTTTGAATGACTTACTTAATTTATCCCTAGGACTACAAGCATCATGTTATCAAGTTAATCACAACAAAAGTGACACAACACCCTTAACACAAAACTTGAATTAACTTTATTTTCCCCTACAGTCAACAACTGGTCTGCATTGAGCTTTAAAGCAACAAAATAAAATGAAATCTCCAAACGACAGGGGGCCAGAAATCCAGATTTAATTACCTTTGTGAAAATGTTGCAGCTGCAGTATTGGTCTGTATAAACCATCGGAGTCAAAACTGAGTTCATAAATCAAAAAAATATTCTACACCTTGGGAAAGAAGTCAGCAGTAACATTCTCACAGAACACTGTAAATTTACATTTTCTTCATGAAAGGTACATACTATTCTGCATTTTACATCAAATTATTGATGCAAGCTTTGTTTCTATAAAAAAGTTACAACCTGTGGCAGGAAATCAAACTGCAAAACCCTTTCATTTTAATTAAAGAAAATTTTCAAGTCTGTATAAAGTTTTCCTATAGCTGGAAAGTGAACATGTTCAGTCTCCATTTATATTTTAGTGCATTTAATCTGACAGTTTTCACCACTTTTTTTTTTAAAAAAACAAACCAACAGTATAAAAGACAGACAAAGCAAATAGCACTATAGCAGGAATTTCTTCAACTGATTTAAGCACTCTAAATAAAAATGCAGAGAAACAGATTTCCAGAAAAACTGTTAGCCTCACAAGAAAGGCAGTGAGGGGGGGAAGAGGTTTGCAAATCCTCTACCTCCAACAGCCACAGAAAAGGGGGTTTGTATACCTGTCAACCTTTTTTTTCTCCCCATTAAACAGGCTATACTTGTTTTACCAATGTAAACATTTACCGAAAATAGTTTAATTTCTCTTCTGAAGCACCAGCCACTGGTGCTCAGCTTGAAGTTACTATAGCATTCATGACTGTCATTGCAGATCTTTCAGGAGGATACAAATTTAGCCCTTGTATCTACATGTGCAAGATTTGCCTTGTCTACCTTAGGAAATGACAGCGTAAGGCAGCAATACTGCAAGCTCACGTTAAACAAAAGCAGCTCGTCCAATCTAAACTAGCATCCAATTGATCTGTCCTGTCGTCTCTTGTGACAACTGCAGCTTTGCTGCTTACACTCCAGATCAAAACCAGCCTGCAGCAAGAGTAAAAGGACACTGAAAAAAGCCAGTTGAAAATAAGCATGGGAGTAACTTATTTTGAAAGTTTAATTTTCAAGAGCTCAGATTCCTCTTAATTGTTGAAAACAAGTCATTTTTAGATTTCACCATTTCAGTTTACACACTGCTGCTGTTCAGGTGAACAGTGTTTTCCAAAAAAGATTGACAAGTATGCATGTGCCAAGGACCAAATTACAGGGTTCTTTGGTGCAGTCAGTCCAAATTCTCAACAGATTTGAAGGATAATATGTACCAATAAAAAAACCTGCTGCTAGGCTTGGATAGCAGCTCTGTCTTGCTTCACATTACAAATCTAAAACAGCTGTTCTCAATAAGCCAATATTTTTAATCAGACATTGCCTGAAAATTTTGTACAATAATCTGGACCAATGATGGTTCTGTACCCTCATGTTGCTGTGAAACATGACTTGAGCTAAAGGCAAAGACTGGTTATCTCAAGGACAACTGCTTCGTATTAGCAATCAGAACAGTGTATTTAAACTGTCTTCCTGTTGGGTCTCTTGCCTTTCTTTAAAATTAGTTTATTCTTAATGTAGCCACGCTTCCTTTTGGAGGTCTAAAAAGAAAAACAGAATAAAATGTATTAGTTAATAATTTAGTCTTGACCGCGGTTTAATGATGTGCATTTCAATGCCTGATCTTTAGATCGATTTTAAAGAGCTTAAATGGTAAGCCCTCAACTAGGTCTTATCCAGTTATTATTTTTTAAGTTGGGATTGTTAATTCATGCCCCACATTTGCTTTTGCACAACATGTACTGCTGCAAGCCCCATCTACCACCAGACCTGTAGAATTGTTTTTAAAGCTTGTGCTGAGGCAGAATTAATAATTAACCAACATGATACAAAGCTCTAATATGCCCAGACAGCAGAAGCAGTGTAGAGTGTTAGTTTTGTTTGGAAATACCTTCTTGCATCTTTTGCACTATTTGATTCTTCTAGAAGTTAGCAAGATGATAGAAATACTTGGTCAAAGCAGCATTTTTCAAAAGTAAGAGAAAAACGGAATAATCCCATTTTAGTCTTTAGTCCTCTGCTATTGGCCTGTAGGCTAGTTAGTGCTTTCTGCTCATGTGTCTTTATCAGCATAGTTTAGATAATTTTTTTAAGGTAGTAATGGGGCGAAGCATTAATGTTAGCCTTGGGTAATAATAACTTCAAAGTTGTGTAAATACAGTTAGTTCATGGCAGGGAGAATTGTACATTCAACACACCTGCCACAACAAATTAGACAGCCCACAGCTCCCACACTTGCTGCAGTTCACTGTGCTTACCAGCAGGCTCTATTGTGTCAACTAAATAGAACTTTTCTCTTTTTAACAACAACAACAAATATTAATATAAAGTGAGATAGATACAAACTAAGACATAATACTCAAGACATGCTCTGAGCTTGAGCAGCATTATTCCTAACATGGAAGACTGACAGGATTCAGACTGAATTCCCAGTACGGAAGCAACTGCTGAAAACCTGTGGCTACTAGGGAGCCCTTGGAATGCATTTGAGAACTAGTTCAGACATTTGCCCCATGCTCTTTCTGGTTCTCCAATTCCTTAGTGGGAAGTAGAGCCTGTTTGTACCGCAGGAGTTGGTGATGATCAGAATTTGCATCAACTTTTATCCCGTCTTTAGAGAGAGAACTGACACACCCATAGCTTAAGTGGGGTCAGTGCATCTGTCATTAATAGATGTAGCCTTGCTTGTCACTTAAGATCAAAAGTTACAGAGTAAGTGTATGATAGGCACAGTAAAGCTTATCATTTCCCTTCAAGGTCTAGCTTCAGTGGCAACTCCCAAATACCTTTTTTAATGAAGTTCCCTCAAATCATAAAAATAAGCCTCTTTATCCTTCAACATTCTTTACCTGTATTTCCACAACACTGTGTAAGTTTACTGCCTATACTAATTTAGTTACACATTTGTTTCTGACAGGAATCTGAAATTCCTCTTCCAACATATATCTGAATATAAACAAAATGGATGTTGTGAAGGAGAGGGCTGCTGAGAGTCTCCCCAACTCCCCTGATAACAAACACATCTTCCTTAACAGGCTGAAGTAGCTCACCACCGCTAATACTTCTAAAACCACAAAGATGACTTCAAACAGTAAGCAGACAGACACTAAAGTTCCGTCAACAAAAGTTTCATATTTAATTTATTTCATACAAAATTGCCATTTTTAAACTTCTAGGCATCACTACTTTCAAACAAAGTCAGAAAGCAAACTTCCACATTATTTACTTAGTGAGCCATAGTTACTGAAACATGATGTACTTTAGAGATTATACTTCCAGTTACATGAAGACTTAAGAGTTGTAACAGCCAGTGACACACTATTTCCAGTTAGCATTCTGCCTAAAAAAAAAAATAAATCTAGCCTTGTGTCTTCACATGCTTTTAAGTTAAGCAGACAGTAAATTAACGATTATTACCAGCAGGCAGGTCTCATATTGGACACTAACATGAAGAGTATCCATAACATTCTGGCTAGTGGAAATACATAATTCACCAGCTATGCAATTCACTGTTAAAAATAAACTGCCTGATCCCTTTCAGTTACTTCACTGGGAACCCACCTTCTTTGACAAATACTTCTGTTTCGGTACAATGTTGGTTACTCTAGGTTTATGATCCAATGTCTCTCTGTTGTCTAGTTGTTTCACCTTGTATATTCTAACAAGCCAGTGCTCTGAGGTAAAAGCTTCCTCCAGATGTTTAAATTTAATGTCTTTGTTGCCTATCTCAGCATTGCGTGTACGATCGAATCCTGGGGGTGTCCGAAAATCCAGCTATAAAAATTAAAGTTGCATATTAGTTCAAGACAAAACCCAACACACCCAGCACTGCAAACTGTGGTACTTCATACCACAAGGCAATTCTTTCACCTGGTCTAGTCAAAAGGACAACACTCCTCTTACATCGGTTATTACTACACAGAAAAAACTCCCAGTTCATTTTTACAATTGAGAAAGAGACAAATTCATTCTTACTCCTACAGGTGTCACAGGAGACAGTGCTTAATGTCTCAACAGAAATATCATGTCTGTGTTCAGAAATGAAACTACTCAAGTCAAAGTCTGAGGTGCAACAGCCTGCGGCAGCTTTTTTTAGCTTAGCTGCTCCCTTGTACTCTCTTCTCTATAGTGCAACAAATTTGCACTTTCATAGTTTTCTGCAGAAGTTGGAAATCATTCATGTTTATCAGTTAAATTTGACCCCCCTGCCCCATGTTACAAGCAAGATCCACTGGCCTCAATTTTAGCCGAAGGAGGGATTCTTGTGCTAACATATCAGAATGAAGGGCCCTTGGACCAGGGGGAGAACAGGAAAGAAAGAAGTAAACCAGGCAAACTTAGCTACGTACATGTGCCTGATGATCCCAAAGGGGAGTGACAACTCTCTGAGAATCACACCCTTATTATGTAGGTGTAGTGTTGTTTAATACACTGATGTGACTTGGATAGAAAACATGTCATTTCTGACAGGTATTAAATAGTCGATTAACAGTTCCACTTCTGTATTGCTACTACAAAAAAACAAACCTAAAGCTCTTCACAGTGTAACAGTTAATGCTTTAGCAAGCACACTGCATAATGGAATTAAGATGCTCATCTGGGGCAATGTGAAGAACAGCAAAAAGCCAAGTACAAGTGTAGGTTAGCTGCAGAAATGCTTTTTTCTGAAGGTTATATACAGTAGACCACACCTAGATGTGTTTTAATTTGTAAAGCTGACTCTTACCTCTGTTTCTGCTACTACAAGCAGCAATCTAAAAGATGGAAGATACATCAAAATAACATTTTTCTCACATTTCAATTAAGATTCAGTAGAAATTGTAGCACTAACCTGCATCTCTCCAAATCTGTAATAGGACATTTTATACATCAGGCAGTTCAGCAAAGTTGGAGAACCTGCCTTATCTACCCGGAATTCTCCCTGAGGGGTAAAGTAATCACTTTCCTTTAAAAAGAAAAGAAGATACGAAGAGTCAATATCAACTAAACCCCTATTTTATGGTCATTTCTCATTCCCTTCTCCACAAAAAGAATTCATAAAGAATCTAAGCTGACTTTTACAGCCTAAAAGCTGATGTAAGCTAGTCTTAAAAACAGAAAATGATGGTGCTCATTAAAGGTAAAATAGTTACAAACTACCTGCTTCTAACCCAGACCCCAATGGGCCAATCTTCCTAAATCCATATTAATGTGCTGGTATAAATTTTGTCACTTCACAATAAGCAGTTGCCAGAAAGCTGATCTCAAAACATATAAGTCGGTTGGGCATCTATCAAAATTATTCTTCAGAAAGGTGAAAAGCACTGTATCATCAATATACAAGATCCGCAATGTTTCTATAAACTTTGTATGTGCATGTTGTTTAAACAAAAAATTTCTGCCATTTTCATCTCCAGTACAAGATGAAACTATGCACATGGGCTACTCCCTTAAGTCTGTGCTCAGTATCTAGAAGTTTTTTGTTAGGCCTAAGAAGCTATTACTACAGACTTCTGCAATCTCCCAAGATGTTCGAATAACTTAAAACTCTATGTAAGTCAATATTAACACTTTAACTTGTCTCCTACTGCTACAGAGTTTGAAGAAATGAATAAGGCCAACTATTTAAACAGTCTGAACACTCCTACTTTAATTTTAAAGTGTGATGGTGCATGGTGAGACACACATGCAAGAACTACAAAAGAGATTGTGTACTTTTAGTATCATGCAAAGAAAGTGAAAAGCTTTTGAGGTTACTAACCTTTCAAAAATGCAAATACTGAACAAAACTGGGCTACAGGCCTCTGCACTGCTACTGTTCTAGGAAAACAACCCGTAACACCCTTTTCAAATAAAATTGCAGTAAATAGTAGAAATTTCCCTCCACTGTAATAAGCACTACCAGAAAAGCAACAACATAAATGAAGGTTAAAAAAAAAAAGTAGAGATGGACATACAGAAATACAGTATTCAGCTGCTTCAGTTTTCTTGAACTTCATTTCCACTTACCCGAATATCTTTGGGATGTTCCCCCTCTGCTATTCTCACCATCCACAAGAACTTATTAATGTCATCACCAGAGTAGCCAATCACACCACCAAAAATAATCAAAACATAATCCACGTCCAGGCTTCTCATGATCTCATATGCTGCTGACTCATTTGATGACATTGCCTTTCCCACCTGTACCATAGCAAAAATATCTTAAAGACCTGCAATGGCTGCCTATCAAACAGATCCACAGATCAGTACCTGACAGACAAAAGCCCAAGAATATATACTTGTCAATCGAAGCCTGCATTTTCATTCTCGATAAAGAAAACCCATTGTGAATATTTCAAAACTCAAAAGCTAAGTGTAAACTGAAATATATTCTCTGTAAGAGGAGATCTGCCTGTTGAAATGAGTGTTTTCAGTATAAAATGTAGCAGTAAGGGTTACTGTTTTGTGGCACCTACGTATTTGTCAAGTCATGGCTGTACTGCCAAAAACTTAGGGTTGCAGAAAATACCTAATTACAAATTACTTTCAAAGCTTTAAACACAGCACAAAGTGAATACATTATTTTAAAATGTTAGTAATTTTACATTTTTTTTCCTTGAGCTCTGTCCTTCACTAATGAAGCAGCCAAGCTGCATTGTGCTCAGTAGCATACAGGCACCCTCAGCATTGAATTCAAGGTAAATTTATGCAGAGAAAGTGTCAGAATAGAGACATCCTTGAGTTAAAAGCACAATATAGTTTTGGCCTAAAAAAACCAACACCTTTTAAAAGCTGTATCCAGAACCTCTTCCATACTGGTCACTTCCAACACTTAAAAGAATTCACTTATGTCAGTAACTGGCATTCAGTTCAGTAGTTCTGTTTGCTGTTGAAGCTGTCTTACTTAAGACATAATAATGTATCACCATAGTAAAAGGGAGTAACTACAATATAAATAATATCACATCCAAACTGGTAACGTTCAGTTAAGAACATAATTAGAAAACGCTAAGCTTAGGCTGCAATCTGTTGAAAAGACTAGGAAGCTCAGCTTCTTGGCCACGATCCTAATCAATGTGAAATTATTTGGCAGATTTCCATTTCCATGCAGGAGGAAGTCATCAGGGGCACACCTCATTTAAAGCACAAGTTCAAGTATTTGCTGCAACGCACATTTATCACTTGGGTCCCCCTTTATGGAGTATTCATTCCAAAATGGAACTTGACAGTGCCAACAGTCATACTGGAGAGAATTCTTTATGAAAAACCATCATTGCTAGCTGTTGTAATGTGCACGGTTACTGTGCTTATGTAATACAGTTGACTTCCACAGCCTCTCTATTCACATGATGCACCTTGTCCTGCAGGGATTTGTTGGTTTAGATACAGCGTCTGCACTTCTACCTCTTGCAGGAGAGGGAGGCACATAGAGCTATCAGAGCTGAAAGTCATCAGAACACCTGACCTGAATGTCAGGTCAACCACCACAGTAAGAGAAAAACACCTTTGAGTTCCTGAGAAGGCTTGTTGACTGATATTAGCATCAACAGTGCAATTTCTCAAGCTTGCTTTCGGCTGATGCGAGTTCCCTGCCCCTGTCAAAAGCATGTACCTGTGATCCTTCCTTCCCCAATACACATTTTTTCCAGGGCTTTGTATGCTTAAAAGCACAACTTGATTAATTTGTTGGTTTTGAACACTGCTTGTCTGCAGATCTGGTCCAACTGCTGTACTAGCTACTGACACAAGACAAGAAACTATCCTGACACATTCCTCAAGCCCTTCCCCCATTCTGCATGACACAGGTCTTCTGGGAAGAAACAGCTGCTAAGCAATGACTGATGAGTCATTACACAGCACCTACTAAGACTGCAACCCAGCTACTATATAGAACATTCTTTTGTTTCTGCAAAAAAAAGTTTAAGCCGCCCAAGGTGGTGCCCCGGTAACCACAAGCACTGCTAACACTCTGGCTTTAAGCACATCCACAAAGCTCAAACTTACTCTTCAGAAGTGAAAGAAATTAAATGTTCAAATGTTCTGACTGCAAATTTGAGAGACAGAATCGCATATCGCAACACTTCCATTCCTACTCATAAACTTTCTCTAATTTCCATGATGCTGAAAATTTGTTGTTTCCTGTGGGCGGTTTTCATAGTGCCATTCAAAATCCACTCGGCAAAGACACTGCTGAACTGAAACAATCCCTATTTGGATTGTTACCTTAGATTTTTGTCTGTCCTCCCACAAAGAAAAGAAGAGAAACTCAAGTAGTGGTGAAGTTCTGGAAACACCCAGGTAAACAAAATGGAAACTGCAAAAGCAAAATCAATCCCTTCTAGCTCCAAAACTCTTTATACTTGAGTTCTAATGCAAAAAGTACGTTACTTCCACCTCTGTGTTTCCCACTCTATGGAATTTTTTTCCTTAATATCATACTATCTATCAACAGATATTTACAATTTCATACTTGACCACAATGTAAACACTTTGGTGTTTCTAATCCATAGAAAATTGCCACCCTTACCAGGGCTATGTGGCTGTTGTTCCAAGTATTGTTATCAACCAAAGTTGTCCGGTTAGCCATTCCTTCTATCTGATAACCATAGTCCCACCATGACATCACTCTAGCATGCTCGTCTGTGTTTTGCCTCAGCCAGTAGTAGGCTTCTCTGAAGTCATCTAGGATATTCCGAGTGCTGGAAAACAGAGTTAATTTTATTCACATTGCTACAAATACTAGCAACAAATTAACTGCACCATGATAAATCTGGGCTCACAAATAAGGGTTTTCTTACATATTCACCTCCCTTTGAGGGATTCAGTCACCAGCAGCTGTAAGCTTGAACCCACTGACAGCTTAACAGCTAGAAGCTGAAGTGTTGTTGAAGATGTGACTAAATACATTTCCAGTTGAATACATATTCATCAACAAGTTTTCCCAACTGACTCAAAAACTTTCTTTTTTTTAAACCATCATCTTTATTGGCTTTGGATAGGATTATTTTTATGTATTTACATGAAATATTTCAGAAAATGTTATATCTTTTTGAAAATTAGGGCACGAAGAATTTTTCATTCAGGTGACAATTCTGCCTTCCTATAATAAAAAGTGATTAAAAGAAGGCAAAGCAAATTGCTAAAGCAAAGGAAGTAGAAAGGCTTTTGTGCTTTCATTGTTTTCAGGCTTGTAGACCTTACTTACCCATCATGGTTATAGGAAGCCAGAACAACGCTGGGGCTGGAGTATGCATTGCTAGTTACCCAGGTACAGTGAACAGCGAACATCATCAACAACATCAGCATCAGCATAGTAACAATGTTTTTGATATTGGGGCCCAGTCCTTCTTCTGTTTTTTCCTGTTCAGATACATGTTTTCTCACTTTGCCTGCCTAAACAAACACAGATATATCTGTTAAGGCAACTTTCATTGGCTTTGGTAATGGGACGCATGCCTTTTTCTTTGCCACATGCACCCCATAAATGCTATAGGATATTATAAAGCTAGACCAAGCTGTAGCATAAATTAAGTATGCACAGGAGTATTTTGACAATCCAGCAATTTGTAAAAATGGATGATTCCTGGAAGCCTCTTTCAGAAGAAAAACAACAATGCATGACTTTTTTTGGCTCACTATGATGATGCCCTTTTTATAAGGCAGGGTGGAAAAGAGAAAGGCATGGATATTTGCTGTGAGGAAAGGAGGGAAACCCAAGGTTCATGCATTGTCAGGGTCCGAATAACAAAGCCTAAGAGATTTAGAAAAAGGTACCTAACAGCACTTTCTTCATGATGAAAAGAGTCTGCAAGTTTATGAATAGAAATACTTTTTCATAAAATATGTTATTCTTTAATTTCACCATGTCTTAGAGGAAATACAAGAGGTAAACTTTCACTGACACAGAACTACTATAACTAGTTAAGGCGAATGAGGAACTGTCTGCCATTGCTTCTATAAAAAGCTGGGTCAACACTGCACGCTTCCTTTAGGTTAAAGGCTCATCACCGAGCAAGCCAGAGGGAACCACTTCTACACTGACACCAATTCTTTTTCAGGACATCAATTACAGCTTACTGGAGAACATAAATTCTTGTTCTAAATTTAAATGCTAGTGATTCAGACCTCTAGTGGACTTTAAAATATTTTGAACAAGTTAAAAAAAAAAAAAAGAGTAAAAATAAGCTGTTTTATGACTTCTAACTTTTGCTCCCTCCCCTCACCTTATCATACAGATTGCCAGGGTTCCTTTTGTCATCCTCATCACTGCTGTCCTCTATTGGTGGATTTTCCCTCTTCATATCATCACCCAAATAACGCTCAAAGACATTGGAGAAAGCAATTGCAGACAGCATACAGACCACTGGAGTCAAAGTGAGCATCAGCCGAACCATCACACCAGCAAAGTAAACGGCGCTGATTGCGTACAGAGCAACTGTAAAGAAACAGATCTACTGATGACATTTAGAAAGTAACACTCACTCTGACTGCACACACACATGCTCTCCATAAAACTACTTCTGGAAGTAGGTTGAGCATCTGTGTATACAAAGACTTGAGTATGCATCTTGCATTTCCTCGCTTTTTAATTTACAGAGATACAGTTCCATTAATGTTTATCCCTCAAACCCTTCCTGAAGTTCATTTTGACAACTGTTAACCATAACACAACCCCATTTTCATATTCATTAATAGTGTGTCAGAAGATACGTTATTAGTGAAATTTAGTATCACACACCAAAAATTCTACTGGAATAATAGATAGCTTCATTCGATTAAAAAGGTCAAACAGCCCTAGACCAAACAAGTTACTGAAACTGAAAAAGCAAAAGGAAGTGTTAGAATTTCATGTAAATACCAAACTTTAATTAAAGTTAGAGATATCTATGGACAAATTGGGGGCTTGTCTACATTATAATTCCATACAGACAAATAATATGATATTGTGAGCCCTATTCTGAAGCAAGTTTTCGTGCACAATATTATCTCCACTCCCCTCCCCCAAAAAAACAAACCAAGATTTTCAGAATAGTAAGGAATATTCAGAACACTTTTCTTAGGAAGGGAAAAACACCTCAAACAAATCTGTATGCCCTCGTTAGGAATATCTGTTGTTCAAGTAATAGTTCTTATGCCCTGTCTGCTACAGCTTAACAATACATTTGTGTGAAAGATTTGCCATGGAAATAATCAAGGGACACTGATTTATCAGATTACATTACATAAATATTTTCTACTTTGTAGTGAACAAGTATGGCTCTCCATTCTCACTTCACACATTCTCTATGCTGACTTAAAAGGATGAAAACGAGTTGCCCAAGCACTGGTCTTGACAAGGGTTCATTGTAAGCAACAGAGCACAGAATACCCCAGAGTCACTGGATTTAACACAGTAAACGTTCCCACTGCCCACGTACCTCTTAGGTAATCCTAAGAGGCAGCTCTGTTAGTCCAGAGCCTCCTGTCCCTGTAAAAGCCCAACACCCAAGTGATTTTCATTCCTCCGTATGGGCCACAACTTCAAATTATATCCTCACAAGCCTCATTCATAATGTTAAACATCTGCTTTCACAGTACAGCTTTGTACAAATAAACAATTTGTTGCCACTGACATAGAGAGACCCTACACCTCTGCTTAGGCTTCTGCCTTATCTGGCTCCACAGCAAGTGATTCAGTTCACTGAAATAGCAGAAAGTCTGGAAAGAAAAGGCATTTTGAATCATCATCCGTGATGGGATGAATGCCAGACACGCAGGGAAGGGTCGAGTGCCTTGCAGCTTGCGTAGGCTAGGGACCTTCCCTTTGCCCAGCGCTATTCATCTGCCTGAACTGTACTGTGGAACCGCACCTCAACGCACGGTTTGCAAGATCAGTATGTGGAAGAGCATGCAAGTCCAGATGTAGAACAGAACCATACCGACAAATATTTCCATCCCACCTCTTGGGACAACACTCCATCACCATTTCACCAATCTCTGCATTTTTACAACTGGTATTAAGTACTGCTGTGTGCAGGCAACTTTTAATAATCCTCTTTAAACACATTGCTTTTAAGCCTTTCTCAGAACAAGCCATATACCAGCTTTGAGCAAACAAAACCAAAATAGAATCAAGTTGAAGGCAAGATTTTTTCAAAACAATTTTAAAATATTTTCTCTTACCAAAGACTCTTTCATCATTGATGTTTTTGATACAGAACCACAGCCCTGCTGGGAAAGTACACACGAGAATATGCAGATCAAAAAAGAAGGAAACCCATGTTGTAGGCTGATGCTCAGACACAGAGGCAATGATCGGGATGTGAATTTTCGCATACCTTTTTTAAAAAAAATTCAGTTCAAATTATTTTGAAAAGATAAAATTATTAAAACTTGTAAACATTAGGAATTCTGCAATTCATTTCAAAGGAAGCATTTCAATTTAAAATGGCAAGTGCTCTATTCAGCAGAAATCTGATGAAACCTTTATACCAAAAAAGTCCCCAGGTCTTACTGTATTTAGGTAGTATTTGGTGTATAGAGTTATTTAGAACACCAATATAAAGGATTATTTCCACACTAATTAAAAGAATGAAAATTATAGATGTTTTGTTTTATTATGGCTACATATGAAGCCAAAATCACCAAAAAAGAAAAAATCACACAGCTATGGAAGCCCTGTCATGACATTTTGAAGAGATAATCACCCATGCCAGTAAGTCTCCTAGATTTTCAACATTGTATTTCAAAAACTCTCCTCTACACAAGAATACCTTCATTTTCTTGGTACATAAAGTTACACAGTATTAAATACTAGGACAGTTACTGATGCCCCTACTTTCTCATGCTGAAATGCTATGTTAGATGCTGGGGGGGGGGCAGGAAAAAACAAACCAAAACCAAACAAACAGGCCTTGTCTACACTTGGAAATACATGTCAACTAAACATGTCAAACACTCAGTGCAGACAAGGACAAAACTTTATTCTATATTAAAGACAGCTATACATACAGACCTGAACTGGGGTGCTACATGACCAAATGGTGAGGTATTAAGCATATGTCCTTTTCTTCACTGAGATCTAGTTCTTATTCAAAACTGCATTGTGTGTTTTAACACAATATGATTTTCTAATGTAGACAAGCCCTCAAAAGTTTAATGCTTTGTATAGATATAGACCACTTCATTTATAGGCAAAGAAAAACATCTGTATGTTCTTCAAATAAATCTGAAGCTTTTTTACTGACATCTGTTCTACTGTATTTATTACAGAGTTGGTACAGAACCCTGCACAAGCTGGAATTTGGAGCCTGAAAAATCTTGAACTGCAGAAGTCTAAGTTCTCCTATCTTTGCTTTTAATCTTAAAAAAAAGAATCTACCAATTGAATTTCACCTTAGATATATTTATCTGAGAAAAATATCTTCAGTTTTATTCCTATTCTCCTGGCTGGCTAAAGAATCTAACATTGGATTTTTAAAGGTTAACTAAAACAGAAGATTAACTTACATGGGTTTTTACCTGTGAAAACACACATGAATAAACCAGAATTGTTCAGAGTAGACATCTGTATACACAAAACAGATGTATAAACATAATAAACAGGCAACATGCAAGATCATATGTGCAACATCTTTGTGATTTTGTGCAATGTTGCGCAATGAAAACAGTCTTAAGGTCCTTAGTAATTTTTAAATGTGTCCTCAAGTGTTGGTACAGCTTTTTGTTATTTTATGCTGAGCAGCACTACAATTTCATATAGCAAACCATACCATTACGTATTCAAAGACTTCCAAAGAAGTAAGAAATTTAATAGACAAATTAGTGAAATGGCTGCAAAGATCATGAAACAGTTACTACGAACGCTTTCTTTAGATAGCTGATTTAAGCCCACTATATCCTCCTTGACTGAAATACTAAATGGATTTGAGGATGAGGAGAGCAAAAGTTTATTAGTTTTCAGTAGAATGCTATTGATATCTAAATCCTTATATCCATTATCCTTACTTACCCAGTGTCCCACAATGAATAAAATCTGCCACTCCAAGGAGCAATATAACCTGAAAAAGAGAATGGGAAAAAACACACCTTTTGCTGCCCAGGCATTGAAATGCAATAATATTTCTACTCCCTCAAATTATAGCACAAACCCAAAGAAATGTCATTGAACTTGTAATATATGTGAATCAGACCTACTGCATTAGGCAGGCTACAAAAACTACCAACCATGACGCTTGTTTTAGAAGAACACACTCTTACAGGATCACACTGTACTCACTGAGTATCAAGACACACAAACCTCCAAAAGTCAAAGCAATGCAATAATAAAATATTTCTCAATGACAGATAGCAACCTATAGTCTGTAAAGAAATATAAGAAAAAGAAAACATAATTGATAAGAAAGTATTTAATTTTTCTGATATGCCTGAGCAGGAAACTGAGAACGACCTATAGCCGAAACACTAATATTCCATGAAACACTGGTTTCCTATTGTTTATTTACTGATGGATCTACATGTGGCATGGAATATAAAAGCTGTTACTAGATAGGTCGATAAGCTTTACATGTGTTTGGTTTTTTTGGGTTTTTTTTTTTTTGTTTTTTTTTTAACAAAGCCCTTAGATATCATAAGATGAAAAGAAACAGTATCATTGTAAGGTGAAAGATAAAAATTATTAACAGTTATTACTAAGATTATTCTTCCATTTTAGTTCCACTTTCCTTGCAACTGTTTCAGCTCCCTCTGAAGACAGATACAGACAAGTTGAAATAGGAGAAAGTTAAATCCTTTTGTTTATTACCCAAGTCTTTGTGCATGACACAATAAGTCTTCCCTCTATCTGATATTTAAAATTAGTATAATCTGACTGAAGATTTTAGTTCAGTATCTAGTTTAGACATTTAAATATTGTGGTTAATGTTCTATGACAAGACATATTTTTCCATTCAGTCTCTGGATGCAAAGCTTTCTCCCAAACCACTGCATGCACAGGAAGTTGCTGCCACTAGATGGGGAACTATCAGTTATGGTCTTCTCTGGATGTATCCAAAACATGAGATTAGATGGCATTCACGTGAGGGTGCTGAAAAAGTTGGCCAATACGATAACTACAGACCATCTTCATCAGGATGATAAGGGAGGCCCCTGGTACCTGGAAAATGGCTAATGCTACACCTCTAGGAAAGACAAGAAGCAATATGCAGGAAACTACAGGCCAGTAACCCAAGTCCCTGAAAAGATCATGGAGCACAGCCTCCTGAAATACACTTTTTGAACAGTTTTCCTCATTTCTCATTTATAAGCTGAAGAATGGGCTGGAAACAGACCATTTGACACATTGAAAATTGGTTGTCCTGACAAGCTCAAAGTAGTACTCAGTGGATCAGAATCCAGCTGGTGGCTAGTAAAAAGTAAAAATATCCCAAAGGCCAAAACAGTGAACTGTGCTAAATTGAGAAGAGTGACTGACATGTCTTAGGACAGGACTTCAATCCACAGCCTCAAACCCGTTCATACAGGGTCCAGATGTGGGCACCCTTTTGCAAGAAGATTATTAGGAAAACAGAGAGGGATCAGAGCGCCGTGAGATGGTCAGGAGCCCAGATCGCACAGCATACCAGAAGCTGAGGGAACAAGGTTCACTCCATCTGGTGAAACAGTGATACTGACGAGTGAACTTCAGAAGCTGAAAACAACACTTCCTAAGAACTGCAACAGAAGACATATTTTGCTGCACACTGAGATTAGAAGCCGAATTTTGTTTTGATATGCCAGTCTGAAAATTTTTGCTATTAGTAGTACCTGCTCATACGTACTGAAAGGCAAATCATAAACCATCAAGTTTTAGAAGACTTTCAAACAAATAGAGATGTTAAGTATTCTTTTGGAATAATAGTATCATAATCAACAAAAATAAAACTGCTATTGAACAGTCCAAAATGTTAAACAACTGATACAAAAAAAAATTATGCCAGAAACATTGCTAAAAAGTACAAGAAAGAAGTCAGCTAAGATAAAAACAAGTTATGTCTCAGGAAAGTGGTTTTTCTTTCCAAAATAAAACTCTGACAAAATAGAACTGTATTTGAGGTATAATATTAAGATCATGCAATTTAAACAAAGAAGAGTCAATTTTTGCATAGGTAACATTTAGCTACGAAAATAAGATTGCTTTTTCTTCATCGAGGGAAGGAAATACAGTATTCCATCACCAAGGAAGTATATCATAGAATCAGAAGATGGCAGTGAGGCATCTAGGGATGGCAACCAAGCAAAGACAAGCTCATTTTTGTGAGATTGGGTAGAACAGCCTTGAAGACTGGAGGCTGAACCACAGAAGCAGAATTTACAGATTAATTCCAGTCACACAGAAATCAGATTCAAGTATTTCAGAAAGTAAGCAATCTGACCATGACCTTGTCAATGTCAATCAGAATAGATTAGCTCTACATATCTTCACAATACACTTTGGCTATAGTTATGTTCCTCATCCAGACTGACTTCTTACATCATTATGTGGAGAAACCCAAAATATTGGAATAATGCTACAAAGTTTTTTTTCTGCAGCCCATAGAACACAGTGAATTCCAACACACAGAAATAGAGAGTAACATGGGCACAGGTTTGCTGTAGCACTGCCAACAACTACTTTAGACTAAACCAAATGTTGATCATCACGTTTGCCTGCTCCAATGATAAACTAGTTTTACATTTATTTACCTGTGTATGTCAAATAGATGACACTCAGGAATACAATACCAGCAGCTAATGAGACACCCAAGAAGAACAGTGTCTGAAATTCTTGCTTTGTTAATCTGTCTCTCAGATACTGCAAAAATGCATATGCCTGCAGCAGTGCAAAAACACCTGAAGAAAGAGGAAAGTCTTTGTTTAAATGCTGAAAAGTAGTAACAGCTGTTTAAGCAATTGGCATACTTTGGCTATATTTTGACTTAGCAAAATAAATCTAAGGTACACCTTTACATACAAAAACTAGTATAAAAATATCTTTCTGACAAATAGCCTTTAATACTTAGCAGGGATGATACTTTCTTGCAGTGACAGAAACTTGAGAGAAGCAAAGAATGTTTTGGAGAGTATTTTATAACAACAAAAGGTCCAATACCCATCACCTCTTTGCTCCCAAATTAAATGTGGGTAAGGGAGAGAATCACCTGAAAACTAGATTGCACTGATGATGACAAAAACATGGGTTAACATACCTAGATCTGGTGAAAAATTAAGACACAGACCCCAGGCAACAGACAAACAAGGTTAATATAGAAATATACAGAAATTAAGCTCCTGAACAAAACAGGAGGATTTAATGAAAGAAAAAAACCAAAACAAAACCCCAAGCATTAGGTGATGTAGACAACTGAATTACATAAAGCTAGTGTTGAAACACCAGAATTCACTGGGTAGGCACCCCACACCCTCAAAAAGGCTGTTCAGAGTTTAACGTTAAGCCAGAACTTGGACACGATTTTTCTGTTGTTATTCATTTCAATGCATATAATCAGATCAATCCAATGATTAGTCCATTCAAAAGCAAAAATTCTCTGGTAGCTGGCAGAAAAAGAAAATATAACTCAAGTATATGGTCTTTCTTCAATTTAACAATAAATTTGAGATGCACAGTGTTGAAATTCCCTAGTTCTGAACTCCTAGAGAAAGACACAAACTCTATTCACTAAATAAATGTAAAATTCTTCAGATATAAAATGTAGTTTGATAATCTTTGCTCTTTCCATTATATTCAGATTGTTGAAAAAAAAAAATTCTCAATTTTTACAAGTATTTTTATTGGTAAATTTTAATGGTATTCCAATCATTGTCCCAAATATATTTTGATAAGTGACTACACATTAATAAAAATCTGAGGAATCTAACAAACTAAACTGTATCACACAGTCTATGCACTTAAACATAAACCTTTAAGTCTTAGTAGAGGTTATTGCTGTGAAGAAATCAAGATGTCTGACAGTTAACAACTACTGAAAAATCAACACACTTCAAAGAAATAAAAAGACAAGATTGAAATAAGCTATTTAAAAATTAGCCTCCTGATCAGTAATTTAAGTTATTTGTTTTTAACCCACTTTGGGAAACACAGTTTTTATTGAGCAATTTGGTTTTAGAGTTGATAGTCTTCTGTAATTTTTCAGTAAGGAACGTTTCAATTGTGCAATGCTTGAAGGCAACTGTATATTGCAAAAGAGTAGAGGTTATCAATGTGTAAAATAAGTGCTTGTCAGAATGCGTAACTGATCCAGTGTTATGGAGACATTTTACCTCCATTAGCTCCCACAAAGAAGGATAATGTGTCAACTGGAAAGAAAACTTCCCTACAGACACTAAATTGTACCTCTTTTTCCTTATCAATTTGGTTTGTTAGTATGTATTTTTCCTAATACAAGGAAACAAAGCTGCAAGGATTTGAGGTTTTCTTGTGCTAAGCAGGCTGTTTGGAAACAGACATTTAGGTTTCTTACCTGCAGCTGCCATGTGTTCACTTGTTCTAATTGGCTGAAATCCCACAAAAGGTATCTGCATCGATAATATTAACCCCACAATGTAGAAAGTGCTATATGCTAGGGGAAGGAAAAAAAAAAGTGAGGAGAGGGAAGGAAGAGAAAGATGGAAAAAAAATGAATATAGGCATTTCAAAAAGCATTGGTTCCACAGTAGAGTCCATCCTACCCCCAACTTCAGTGATAGTGGAACAGAACCATATAATTCTACATATTTCAGCCATCCTAATTACTTTTTCCTGCTTTGACTAGAATAAACCTGCTTACTGCATCCAATTTTAGAGGAAGCAGCAAGTTATTGTTGTTCCTAATGGCACTGTTTTTCCTCCTCCTAGGGAAATAAACCACTACCTAAGAGGCTCTAGCTTGGAAATACTTTATTCTTACATCTTGTTTTCAAGGGTCGTGGGTGGGGGAAGAGCTCTTGGACAAGAAGAGACAAAAGAAGCTTTCTATATGAGGAGAAATTGAAGGGACCAGACCTCAAAGAAGCAAAACATTTATAAGTCCACTACCTATGTGGAAAATGCAGAGAGGTATGCTTGTTCGTTTTTTTTTTAACACAGGAGCAGAGGAATGCCAAGAAACTAAAAAGCAATAGAATTAAAAATTAATATTAAAGTGCACATATTAATAGATGTATATCAACCATGGGGACTCATAACCCCCCAGAAAGTAGAAGGCAAGAACATCATTAATATTAAAAATATGAATGATTATTATGTATGCACTAAGACACACATACTTGACTTTGTCAAGGTTTTGGTCCTCAAAATTCCAAGGTGAAGGAGGGGAGGGGAAGAGAGAAATACCAACTCTGAACAGCCATGAGTCTGATTACATTTGTAAGTAACCAGCCAACTTAAAGTCCAAATATATTTTTGTTCTTTCAGTTGCAAAACAGCAATAGTCCACCTCCCAGATTTTTAAACACTCCTACAAATCATAAACCCCTGTCTTTGTTACAGCCTCAAACTTACAAGGAGATCGCTGTTCTCATACAATCCTTTACTAACCTCCACGAGAACAGGTTTGGGGAGCACATCATTTACCAGTGGTATTATTTCCATAGTACCTGTGTGCTGTCACTGGGGGATTATGCTCCCAGGGTACTGTATGCTTCCAAAAGTCACAGAAGTGGCTGCGATCGTAATTCCAACCACTTGCTGTCTTCTCTGGTGTATTCTTTCAAGCATCTGTATTGCTTGGCTACTTGGCCTAGCTACTGATCTATTCTCTCTTACGTCACTGAAATATGTTTTTGCTGTAGGAATCTAAATTTTTGAAGAATTCACTACAACATAAATCATTTACTGTACCATCGAAGTGTTACAACACTGCCATCCTGTGGAAGTTCAATGATTGGCATAAATCACTACATTTCACATTTGTTAGACCACTGTAAATCATATTTTTTAAGCCTAGTCCTGCAACTATTATACCTACAGTATAATAATACTTATTCCCACTTCTTTCAAACAGCTATCACATATGTCTGCCTGGTATTGAAAACATGGAAATTTACACAGCAACACAATTTTTCTAGGAACTTAGATACATCAAGGTGATCTATCATCACAAACTTTCCTTTACATTCTACTGTGTGCACAGTCTTTGCAAAAACAAGAATTTTGATTCCTGCAAGCTACTCTCATGGTTATAACTTTGACTAGGTCAAGAACAAAAATGTTCTGACATACTGGGGATAAACTCATTTTACAAACAATTTTCATTGCTGTACACTACACAAACACAGGAAGAACCTACTGAAAAACTTCTTCAGAGGGTATGATCAAATACCGGACCACATACTTTCAATTAATGGATTATAATGATCAGAAATACATGCTAATCATCTGAAGTTTTAGAATACTGAAGTAGTTGATATAAATATATGCCTTCTCACTATTTAAATTATAGAATCCAATACATAGAACAAGGAATTATTGAAATTAAGTTTTAAATTATGGAAGATCCTTAAGTGTTTTTGTTATTAAATATATTGAAAAGTATACAAAACTTAAGCATTGTACAGAAAAAAAATCAGATTTTCACTTGAAAATTACCAAGTCTCTAAAGTGTGCAAGCATGACTTAAATCTCTATTGGTACCTTTCCAAACATAAAACCATTCACTTTTTAAACATATGATAAACTGCAAGAGAAACTACAAGTACAATAACAGAAAATAATATCAATGGTTCTTGTGTCTGAATAAAGAGGTTTTTACCTACACAAGTGCTGCTAATACACTGGAATTGTAAGCACTTGTTCTTAATTATTCAGCTAGCAAGATCTGAATGAAAGATACAGACCACTGTCAAGACAAAAAAAAAAGATGCACAGTTTAAGCTTTCAAATGTAGGTAGCATGATCACCATTGATGCCAACTGAGTCAGAAGTTATCTGGCTGATAAATTTATCTGCCTGCAAGTCATAAAATATTTTTAAATTGGCAGCAAGTTCACGTTCTGGGAAATTTTTACTCATTAAATGATTCTGAATTGCACTGCTAGGCATATCAGATCATGTCCCATCAACCTTTTCTTTGGTGTATGAACACCCATATGGAAAATGCACACCAGGAAATCATCACTATTTTAAAAAACTTGGTGTTACCAAGTATCGTTCTTTACATTTCTGTTATTATGTTAGATTCAACATTCATCCGTTACAAAAGTTAGGCTTGTTCTAGTTTAAAATAGAGCAACTGATCCAGAGATTAAAATCCCCAAAATTCTCAGTAATAGTAAAATGGATGCAGATTTTACCAGCTACTGTCAGTTGACAATAGTTTTAGCTGCACATTGGTAGATTTTTGAGAACGATGAGACTGCTGCAGGCACATTAGCAATTGCATACCACAGAAACCCCAAAAATATCTTTATTCTCCCTATTTCCATGAGGTTTTGTAAACTCTTGTCCCTGTCTGAACAGTTCGGAAAGGAAGCACACTTCCATTTCTTCCTAGAAGTGCTTAAACATTCTCACCTGTTTTATAAAAACATCCTGTTAAACAAACCTAGAAATCACATACTAATGCGAGATGTAGAGACTTCTCTCTGTGTACGGCTTCCCATGAAGCTTAAATTAAGCCAGCAGTTGCAATGAAACAGCAGAGCAGCAATCACATTTTCATTCTGACAACTCTGCTGAAGTACATCTCCCTCACAGCTGAAGGGCAATAACATCTCAAAACACCGTAGCTATTTGCAAAATAAACGTCTGCCAAAACTGTTAATTCATATGAACCTGCAGTACTATTTTCCCCAGAGGAGTTCAAAGACTAGTTCACTGAAAGCTGAAAAAGCAAGAGTGCTTATTCTTTATTGTTTCTGGTTACCACGTTGCTTCAGGATTTTATAATTAGTTGATTTAATTTTCTCGTGTCGAGCTCACGGAAATTGGAAAATGAAAATATTCACTAAAACAATTTTAAAAGCAAAACAAGATAAATTACTTTCCCCTTAAGTTATGAAGTACTTAATGAAAAAGTTAAGTAACAATAACATTAAAAGTTAAAGGTGGGTTAGAGTTTTTCTTTTAAAAGAATTTCCATTTCTAAATTATATAAATAGACTAGCAAAGAAGCATGAAACCAGTATCTACAGTTTTGATAACAAAGACACAAAACTGAACTTCAGTAAGTATTAGAATATATAATGGTTCAAATACATACATGTAAATACAGTAATTTTGCTAGCAGGCACTAAGAAAAGCACTAAAATAATTAAAAATACAAAGATAAAACAGTATTTAAATGGGTAATGAAAACATATTTGCAAATATGAAACATCCTGTGGCATTACACTGCAACTCACTATGTTCTCAAACTATCTATTGTAAAGGTTTCACATTAGGGAGTCAAAAATGTTCTAGCTAACTTATAAACCTCTGAATACCTGAATTGCTTATTGTTTATTTCATTCACACACCTACACCATGGCCAACTGATTTAACTGGTAAAGTCTCTGTAAAAACAGTTTACAGAGTATTTAAATGTCAGGCAAATAAATTAAAAAGTTAGTCTCCTAAGATTACTATTCACACGTTCCTGAAATAGGAAGGAAGGCTGACCCATTGATCTAATAAAATTTTAAGAATTCACATGGAGTGGACAGATTCTTACATTACTTTTTAGTCTAGGTTATATAAAACATACACGGCTGCTTAAAATTCCCTATGTCTTTTCTCCTATATGTCACAATATACTATATGTTTGGATAAATTTCTGCTGCACAACTTTTTAAAAGTAGCAATTGTTTAACATACTAGGAAAACATAAAAATATGAAACATCATTATGGGCACACACATTATATATATAAACAATACATTAAAAATTATTCTACAAATATCAAACCATATAAATATATTTTTTCAGTGCACCAGAAAGGAAAAATTAATTAGCAGCTACGTATATGAAATTTTTCGAAGTGTGAGTATGTTTTAACTCCTTATTTCTATGTTGCAGAAAACAACTTACTCTAATCAGTAATGAAATTAATAAAATGCAACATGATATGAAATTACTTAATTCCCACTTCCTACAAAACACATCAGTATCATTAATTTCCTATCTCATGATTCAGCATTTGAGAATGACTGTTCAATGAACAAAACTTACCTATGTAGACCCTTCTGCTGTATCTCTGCATCAACAACAGAACAAACACATGCAGTGGAATAAGGTTGATGATGAAAACATAACCACCCCATGCAGAAACCTATGAGAAAGGGAATAGGAAATTAGATCCGAAAATATCTGCAAATTCTTAGGATAGCCAATGCTGGATTTATACACCCTAATGGTCTAAGAAGAAAACACAAACCCCATCTAGACAAGCAGTTAGAACTACTAGTAATACTAGCAGTATCTTTCTCAATATTTATTAGCAAAAAAGGAAAAAAAACCAACAAACCCCCCACATATCAAAGTATTAAAGACTTTCGAAATGGGCTGGTGGATATTTAATGCTATTGTTCCTGTATCTCCCTCTCTTTCCAAGCTAGTCTGGTCACAGTGGCAAACAAGAATGTGATGCTGGGGGCTTTTCCCCATGGTGAAGGCTGCGGCAGGACTCCTACGTAGGATCCAAAATTTTCCTTTGACATAAAAATTTAGCACCATGCTCTGCACTTTTTGGTGGGGACAGGAAACAGTATCTCCAGCCAGAGAGGAGAAAGGGAGTACACCTCCGGGACCAGAACTCCTGGAGCAGAGCAGCCAATGCAGGTTGCAGTGTAAGGAAAGAAACAAAAGGAAGGGAGAGGATGCACAGGGAAGCAGGGCTGGGCACTGTGGAATGGTGAACAACAATATCACAGATACTGCAAACTTGTAGTAACAGCAGCACTTGAGAAGCACTGGTATGATGTACTTAGAACTGAAACACTGCAATGTTATCAATATATCACTGATTGCTAGTTTAGATAAAGATTTAATGAGCTATCATTACAGTGCATTATCTAAATTTCTAACTTATTTAGAAGGGCTAATGTTGACTAGACAATCTGTATTTTAACACATGTCAAATTACAATCTAGACTTCTCACCTATGTACCATGCCTACCCTAGATCTTAATTTTTTAAAATGCACTAGCTAATGCGGTTTTCACTTTAATTGTACTTTAGAGCTTAGATTCACGTAGATATTTTTAAAGCCCTAGAATCAAAAAACAAACCCACATGACTATGCTCTATAGAACAGATTCCAAAATAAGGATTAGGTCAAGTGCTAGTTTTTGATACTAATACTACAAAACCCAGTGTTTCAAAATTTGGGGTAACCAATTTAGGCAATGTGAAACAGGTAGAACAGACGTCTTAAATTTTCTAGAAACTCGTTTCAGATAATCATGATCCTATTGCCAGATTACCAACATGGAGTATCATGGTTTACACAGGCAAGTTTGTTTATTGAGAGAAAAATATTATATGAAGACAGGTAAGACTAGAATAGAATGAGAACAAATGTGCAATTAGGACACGGTCATATTTAGGGAAAGGCTTGAATGAAGCAGGTAGCAGACAGTTTGTATGGTCCAGACATCTGCATCTCTAATTATCAAAATATTAAATCAAATCTAAGCACTGAAGATTGTACTGAACTGAAGATGCACTTCGGAATGTTTCAAACAAAACTGAGACATCCTCATAGATCGGCAAAAAGAGTGGAAACATGCCACTATTCCTACAAGGGTTGCTTCAATGTAAAGCTTTGTTTAATTTTACCTCCTTGTCATAAAAAGCTATGCAAAGCAGAAGTTGCTAAAGTCAAATAAATGTTAAAAATAGAAATGCAAGAAAAAACCACTTCTCCTTATGGAATGCAATGCAGTGCTATGAGTCAAATTACCACAGGGACTTAGGTATACATTTTAAGCAGATTTAGGTATCAAGAAAGATTTCTGTCAGTCATTTCTCTTGCAAGGAGCTGTTCCCCAAACTTCCAATACAAGGACTGACTCTTACTACCTCAAAATTGGGATTTAATTTTCAACTGACACTGAAAGCATAACTAATTCCACCAGAGAAAGACAAATGAACACTATATAATGAATAGTACAGTTATGCTTTGTCCTAAGAATTTACCTAAGCAAAATGTCTAGAAGGGCGTCTTAACAAAATTCTTTCCCAAATGGAAATACAATATATGGAAAGCCACCACCAGGCACACTCTGTGAGCACTATAATTCTATCATCTAATCACTGAGGCTAAAGCTATGGACAAATCTTAATCTTTCACTAGCTGACAGCGCTTGAAAGGAAAAGAAAAGAAAAAAACATTAGTTTACATTCAAGGATTGAATGTCATGATGGTGACATTGATTCCATACGTTCTGTCACCATGCACACTCTAGATCACATCCCCTCCCTCTCATACAATCCCACACATCAAGACACTAGTCAGACTAAGATGGGAAGAACTTGTTATTGTGTTATTTTTTCAGCAGTAAAATTGTAAAAAGAATTGTATTTGTTATCTGCATATTTACGAACGGCACTTTTAAAGGATCTTGCCAATAAACTGGTGCAAAATAAAAAAATACTATGGTATGTAAGTATAACAATTCGAAAACTTATTTGCCTGATTTTGTACTGCACAGAAGTCTGTACCAAACCTACAGGATCTCTTCACTGTAATGCTATATAAACAGCAATGCTATGCATAAAGAAGTGGCTGTTTATTTAATGACTTGGCAAAAAGAAGGAGAAATGGGGGAGGAAATAAATGTACTCTTAACAGGAGATAGCTATCCTTTTTGGCAACATATACAGAGCTATTATTTGCTGTATTAACAGCAAAAATCTCCCAGAAAACCCAATGAAAATGAAAGCTGGAAGAAAACTAGGCAGCATCAAGATAACCTCTGAATTAACCTTGTGCTTTAAATTAAGGCATGCAAAACAGTTCATAAATTCCTTTTTCTTGCAAGCCTAGTTACCTGACTGTAGCAAAGCAGTATCTGAGACCTCAGTTTCAACCAACAAAAAGCAATTAGCCTGACTGTCCCACCACTACCTATTTTGAGGCTAATTTATTTTTCATATAGCCACAAAAAAAGAAAAAGTTTATCAATTAGGGGAAAAAAGGATCTTTGGCTGATTCATACAGGATAATTCCTCAAGTCTAAGGTTTCAGAAGATGGAGGAGGGGGGAAAACCAATTCCCTCCATTTTGCTATTAGTTTTATCTCCTCAATTTTACTACTGTTTTTCCCCTCTTTTAGCCCTTAGGAAAATCTCTACAATAGCCAACAGATCAAGAATGAAAACGGACATTATGATAGTTTAATATGACATTGAATTCATTCAGCAGTTCTGGTGGTAAGCTTTACTTCATGGCATAACTATACCCAAACAAACAGCTTTCAAAGTTTCAAATACACTTTCAAAGTGTAACTTCATCCATAAATTTTAATTATTATTGCATTTTATTAATAATGACACACAGACACATGAATAACAAAGTTCCACTTTAATTCACCTGCACCAGAACAAAAATCCCACTGAATCAGCATACCTATTCACAGCATAGGATAAATTTGGAAGTAAAGTTATTAAACTTAAGAGTTTTTCCAAAAATTGTTCTCATTGTGTTTATTTAAATACTTTAAATTTCAAAATATATATTATGTCTTTTGACTCATATATTTCAGGTTTTAATAGTTATATGAAGCAACAGTTTGGTATTATGGCTCTAACAAAGATTAAAATCTCCTTCTGTTCTTTGTCAACGTATGGATTATTACTCAAACAGTTTAGCTATTATAAATATAAAAGGCTTACCATGTAAAAGTAGGATAGACAGCAGCAGATTGTCCAAAAGACTGACCCAGTTTTCACAGACTTCACCTTTAAAAATAACCATGTATTTATGAATGACAAAAATACTGGACAATATTCAAAAATTTCATTCCAAACAACTGTCAAGAGAACTTCCTTAGCAACTATCAAGTTATATTTGTATGCTCCTGAACTGATGTCCATAAACAAAACCACAGGTGCCATTCATTCACACACAAAAGAGCTTATACCTATCTCTCTACTTAAAGCAGAGGCAGGATGCAATGAAACTCTCTGCTTCACGATCCAAGGTAGAAAAGTGGTTGCAACACCTCTACGCTACTTTCTCTGAGACATTAGACCAGTTTATAATCCTAAGTGTAGACTATCCATGGCTTACTTCAGCTGGCAGCAGACGCAACTCTGCAATTACAGATAAAGGAGCCATTCTGCAATTTTGAAAAACTTGCTGAAGGTTAATGAGAGCATCTAGATACTACTAAAGGTTTAGCAGGATCCATAAATTGGCCCAGGAATATGATTTTGTCCAAAACTGATGGTGGTGATTGTGAAGTGGGAAAATAGGAATGAAAAAGCAATATTAAATAAAGCTAGAAAGTTATCTATAAAATATATTTGATTCACACATAATTCTGCAAGAGTTCATGCAAACATTATTGCACTATGCAGTTTACTTAAATGAGTTCCCTAAGAACAGATAACTGCTATCACATCTCAGTTGTTATAAAGGAACAAGGTAGGTTGATTCTATTATTGTTATCAAACACAGTACACCTTCAGAGCTGCAGTTTATTCTAAATCCAGATTTTAAAAAACTGCATTTAAGTAACACCAGTCATTCAGTCATGAAAAACTTGAATTCCCTTCCATTATACTCCTACCAACTATATCGTGTTTGAAATATTCTAAAGCTAAAAAACTTGTGAGAACACATCTGCTTATCAAAAGTAGAACTCTTGACAAGATCATGGGAAAAGCTGTAATGACCACGTACATATATGGAGACTCTCAAAATTAAAAGTATATGCATTCAAGGAACACACAAGGGACAGTACCATACAGTGTCTATGCTGAATTAACAATATAGTTATGCTATTTGTGGTATTTCCAAAATAGATGCATCAGCCCAGAAAACTCCAGCTTGCCTAAACACCTTCATACAAAACTGCATTACATACACAATTCTATACACAGATTAAGGAGTAACAGACAAGCTGCACTAGCAAACAGGCTAGTTAAAAGACAAACTTTTTTTTTTTAAAGCATGCAAGCAATAGCAATATCTTGCTCTGGACAGCTTTGGGTATTTAATTTGAATCTTTAAATCAAACCCCATTCCCTCTATACAGTCAACAGCTTCTCCAAAAGACAATTCAAAGCACTTTATATTCAGAGTCTATTGCTTTTTACCAGCTAAATAAGGAGGCTAAAGTTTGACACTCTCATAATACTAGTAACTACAAACTGAAAAATAGAAACAACTCTTCTGTTTGCTTTAAATTTATAGACATTATTATTATTACTACTACCATCAGACACACATAATTTGGTTGAACAGTACTTTTACATAACAAACTGAAGAGCATGATTATGGAGTGGTTCAGATCATGTGACTTCTCAGTACTTGCCTGATCAAGAGCCAAGGGGAAGAGGGATGGGAGGGAGGAAAACACGAATTCAATGGTTTCTAAGAAAAATCAGTCATTTGGTTGGAGGAGGAACCAAAAAACCTTTCCAAAGCAAAAGACTCAGCAATTACTTACCCATAAATAGTATGTGAACTGCAGTGCAAAAATAGCTATGCCTTCATTGTCAAATGATCCTGCTACTGATCGGGATATGTAACCTGGAACTATGGCAATAAAACAGGCAGCTAAAAGCCCTGCTCCCTGGTTCCACAGTTCTCTGGTGAGCAGGAAAGTAGAAATAGCTGTAAGGCCGCTAAAAACTGGTGCTAGGAACACACATACATCTCTTATATGGACTGTCACGTTAAGCATATTTAAAATCCAATGTATAAGGCCTGCTGTCACCATCAGTCCTGGGTATACCTAAAAGGAGGGGGAAAAAACAAACACACACACACTAGGTTATTGCAGAAAATTATCATGGCAGGTTTATTTGCATATAGTTTGCAATGGAAACAGTCATTTCTTAAGCTGATATAAGCAGTGAGCAGGTAAAGCTGATGGAATTATTTTAATACTACTTTAATCATGTTTTGACAACACCACTGAATACCAGACATTCTTTAAATTCTATCCAAATGCTAACAATTATATATAATCCATTTTGTAAATGAATAAGCAGTATACAGATAATATCCTATCTTTGCCTGACATTTATCATATGGGAAGAATCTGTCGTTAAGGTATGGAAGCAGAAGTTAAAAGTTTGCAAGAGAATTTCAATCCAGCTAACAGCTTTAAGAAAAACAAAACAAACTCAAAACCCCTAAGACAACAGGAAGAAACCCAACATTTCCCAGCCCTATCCATTTTCCTGCAAAATATACCATGCTACTCTTTCGCTTCTTGTTACCCATGGAGAAAGAAAATGTGCATCAATAAGGTTTTTTTTTTTTTAAAGCTGAAAAGCTGACGGACAGTCAGCTGAATATTCTGTATTTGCAAGACATCTGTAGACATCTTTGGATATGAAGAATTAAAATAAAGTCCTATAAAATTGAATTAAGATGCCCTCCAGGAAAAGTAGCATAGACTTAACACAAATCTATTGAATCCATCATAGAATATGGAGAACTTTAAAATATTCTCAGTAGGAATTCTACCTTCCCACATTTATCAACATTAGAAAAATCAATAGGTACTTGAAAAGTTAATACATACTTCACCCGCCTTAGTTTCTTTCGAAAGCTAAGAAGGGCATTGTACTAAATTAAATTAACAAACGACAGACTGTTCCCCTGCATATATCCTTGAGAGCTGGTTTTCAAGATAAACTATTTTCAAGATAAACATTATTTTGCAAGTCACATGCTATATTATGTATGCAGGCAACATTTCAATTCTATTTCCTAATGGTTTTTTTTTTATATAAGAGAGGTATGGAAAAAACACATACATATGTTACATAAAAAGCGCCTCAAGTATCTCTAAGATATTAAAACAAATGGTGATCTAATTGTTACAAAAAGCTTCGTAAATGCATTTAAATGGTATGTACTGTAATTAAAAAGTTTTAACGGACTTTCACACATTAAGTAATGTGGCTGTGTTACTTCGCATTACTAAAGCTATTCTATCAATGAATTATATTTGTGTTCTGACTTGATAATATTGTTTTGTATACCTTTCCTGCCTTGCAACTTTCATCAATACCAATCTTACCTACTCCTGATGTTTCATACAGGTGCCCCACTCATTTGATTCCAAAAGGTCTTTTCCCAGTAAAATCCTAACATTTTCCATTCACACAAGAGGTCCACTCAAAATACACCACTGGATTAAAACTTGTGCCTTAAGAGATTTGGATAAGATAACTGTTTCTAAAAAAAAAAGTTTTTCTTTTTTTCATTTCATACACCAGAATTACAGAAATCATAATACCCTTGTTTATTACTATTAGAAGTTCAGATGTAAGGAAGTAAAACTCAGTTCTATCTTTCTTGTTCACAGTATGCTGTTGGATAAAGACTAAAGCACGTTGACTTACCTTAAAAGTGTATTTTATTAAAATTCTTTTATCAATGTTGAATTTGTATTGAAAGTTCAAAAGACTTACTGCAAAGTCATCTTTAAGTTATTATTACAACACTTACAGTTCCACCTACTATTCTTCCCAGTGGATACCATGCTCTTTCATCGAACCAATTTAAAAATTCATAAAACCCATGGGATGCAAGATGATGTGTTGATCTATAGTTAAACCTAGAAAGAAAGAGAGGAAAAAGGGAGGGAAGATAAAAATCAAGAAGCTAAGTTTTAGGCATACCTTAAGTCATCTGTTTTCTAAGTCCTAGAAAGTAATTAAACTTTAGCATCTCATTTAGTATATAAGTACAACAGTCCTCTATAAATCTATAGTTTTAAACTAAATTACTAGGCTCTCAGTTACTAACCACACTGTTTTCTTAATTTCTCCAGCCAGTGCATATACATAGATGAAATGTTACAGTTCTGGGGTTTTTATTTTGTAAACATTAAAAAGTTTTCTATCACTCTGACAAACAGTCCTGTAATTTTCTGCATTCCTTTTTAAAGCTAGTTTTCAAATATAGTCTATCAACCAATTATTGATAACATCCGTCTATCAACCAATTATTGATAACATCCAGAATACCACTTAGGCAGAATTAAGACCATGGAAGAATCAACGCAAGACACCCGTTCTGAGACAGGATAGCTACCCAGTACATCTACTGCTGCTCTACTTCATGTAACGTTGAGAGGTGACGTAATGGAATAATATGCAACACAGGGAATCAGTCTATTTGTTCACACTACCAAACTAATAGCCTTGATATATTCCCTTCTTTCTATCAGTAAGAATCTACACAACACAGAATCTATGTAGATGAAGTTTCATCTTCAAAGATTGTACATTCTGCTGCAGAAAATTCCTTGTAGAACAGAAGCTCTCCCATGCATACCTTCCACACTGCTCATGTACCATTAAAAAACATTGATGGATTGCCATCTTCCACTTTTCTGGCACATAATTTTTCCAAATTCTCAAACTTCAGATAGCAAAACTTTTCAACTATTAGTCCATTAATTCTTCAAATTAGGTATCAGACTGCTGTGAAAAGAACTGCAGCACATGCTACCCCAAACTGCAACTCCTTCATTATCATCCAAAAGCCAAACTAACAAGGCTACAGACATTGATGCTGTGAAGTTTAGTAAAGAATGTTTAGGCTTAGGAAACCCTAGGTGACCACCACTTCTGAAACAAGCAACATCCACAAACTCAACCCTCCTAATAAACATTCTAATTGGAATTTAAATAACAATGTGAAATTCATTAGTTAAAGAAGTATTAAAGATTATATTAATTAGTTAAGTAGACGGTCAGATGACTAAATGGAACACCGTAACAGATGACAGGTTAGATGAGCAAACCACCATGAAAGACTTCCAAAGACTGCATTCAAAACGAGAAAAGCTTGTGTGTTGTTTTCATTTTGTCTACTTTATGAAAGTATCCACTTATATCAGTAACATGCATCACTTCTAACACAAATTTTAAAACTACATCAAATTCTTTCATAGATCTAGGATTCCCAAAATACCACAGGTTTACTTTGAACTAATTCATTTAAACAGAATAAAGCTAATGTTATTGAAGACTAAGACCCATCAAGTTCCTACTTGTTCCATCAGTACAGTAAGTGTAACTTCTGAAGCACAACCATGCAGAGGTCATGAGCAGATTTCTTCTACACAGTGAAAGAACAGAAAGAATTGAAATTCAAGTCCAGGTGTCCGCAAACTTGCATGTTTCCACTGACCGAACTATCACAGCATCAGTCAAGTGACATTAAAAATAAGTAAATAACAAAAACAAACAAAAAAAAGAGTGCAGGTTAAATAAGCACTTATATAGGCTACATTAACTGATAAAACTGTGGACTTTTAAAAGTAGTCATGTTTATATAAGAAAATTCACACAAACATCAGTCATTCTGACCTAGAAATCTTTGTATCAAACAGCAGTGTGACATTTGTTTCTAATAAGCCTGCAACTATTCCCATTTGACTAAATATCTAAATATTAATTAATTTCCCAGTTCTGAACTGTCAACTGTAATGTGATTTATGAAATGCTGTACCTGTAAAATAAGCCTCTTATCTTAGTACAGAAAGGTCTATTGTTAATTTGTTTAGTGCCAAGTGCCTGCAGTACTGCACAAGACAACACAGGAGTTCCATGCTGCACAAGATGCATACAATTCAGCCAGCTATGGAGCGGACTCAAAACGTACTGAAAACCCAGTCAATGTTGTTATCCTAGAACTTTAAAAAGGGAACAAGAAAGATATTTACTAATATAGATTGATTTTAGATTTTTAAATCATGACTCAAACTCACAGAAGCTACAAAAGTATGACTAATATTTACTTTTAGAGCATTAAAAGATAAACAAATGAAATAGGCAAGAGGAATACATATTGACATTCTCCTCCTGTTTCAAACTAGTAAATCTTCATGACTGACTTCAGAAGGATGCGAACTGTTCTGTGCTTTGGCAGCGTCCCGCTAAGTCTTGAATAAGAAGGAATTACCACCCAAAATTGAAATGCAATATAACAACATTCTACTTCTACTACTTGAGAGGTAAGAATTCAATCTTCCCTCTTAATATACTTTTGGATTGATACAATTCTATTAACCCCTTCTTTCAAAAGCAGTTGATTCTCCCACAAATGAAAGCATGCAGAGACAGCTAGGCATGTCTTTACAGCAG